AATTATTTCTCACTCCGCCGCAGTTGTTGCCATGGTGACTGTTACAGCCGGATCAAATAAACCAGTCGTAGCGTCTAATAGCGCCAGATAACATGGATATGGATATCAAGGTGAATTTTAACGTTTTTGGACATAATAAAAACCTTTGAGGAATGGAAGAAGAGGACAACAAAAGCAACAACACAAGGAATAAACTTTGGAGGAAATGAATAGAATTGAAGATGAAAAAGAGGAAGGGGACACCAAAAAAGTTACCAAATGAGCTGTTGCTATTTTAAAAGACTTTTTAAAGGAGAAGGGGAGATGCTATTTATGTTCGGTTGCAAAGGCAAAAGTTTTGTTTTCAAGTTTTGCACGTCGCGGAGGAACACCACTCTACTCTGCGCTGATATGTTCTGGACTCCGCGTCGTGCATTAAAATAGTTTATTACACGGCTCCTCTCAGCAGCAGTAGAACGCTCCATTGATTTTAATGTAAAAACGTCAAAACGTTCCACCGGTCATTATTTCTTGATAATCGACCTCTCAAAACAATAATGACCGCTGCCCTTTGGCAACGCACTCTCTGCTTGTAATTCAGATCTGTGGATTACTCCGCAAGTAGTTCCGGCCACTTTGTCGCTACTACTGTCTCTGCAGAGAAGCTATCGGAGCTAGCCACGCTCAAAAGACACAAGTTATGTTATTGTCAATCAATAACATATTTACATTTTAATCAGAGAATACATTATACATAAACATTCTTAACACACATCCACTGAGGTTTTTAGAATGATCTGTAAACGTTTTTATGACAAAAATACAGTTTTAAAGTGACAAAAAGCGATAGCGTTAAACCTGGAAGTACTGTAACCATTAACATGAATTTAACATTTTAAGAACATTTGCAGAGGATTGAATTATGGATTTTAGTTCAGTTTATATTTGGGTCACTCACCGCTTATGTTCAGAATTCTATGTTCCGTTTTCATGTAGAGTTCTTGTTTGGAAGTCGCAAGCCTAACTCTTACTCGCCTCCTTGGGAATTATTTTATTTGATGTCATTAAATAAACGGTGTTCATAAAAGTTGACTGAAGTTTATTCTGTGTGTTGACTGGCACAAATAAGCGGGATAATGTAGAGTACTCAGGTCATTATCGGAAAATAAGTACCTTCAGGGCTTCAGGGCGCTCCACCCTGTCGGTACTTTACTCTTTCGGTGCCAAAGTGGCTTCACACAAATATTTCCCTAACAGTTTCAGGACACATCGAATTCCAGAAGAAAACAATAAAAATACATTGATATCATGTCTGAGGCCTCTAAAAATGATCTTGCGGGCCACAAATAAACTTGTAATTTGGCTGAGGGGCCTTTTGACACATGCGCTCTAGAGGACAATACATCCCACAGCCCGATGTTATTATGCAACATGTCACGTTGATGATGCGTGCAGCTCCTGTCAGCTCGTTTCCCAGAGTTCCCAGAGATTCCAGTGCAGTCATGGTCTTGTGAGCGCTCCACATCTGTTTCATCCATCACTTATATTGATACTGTACATTCCATCTGAGCTGCGGTCTTCATTTGAAACCTGGTACCGCCCTTTTGAGTTGCCGACCCCTGTTCTAGACCTTTGAAAGGACAACGACTGTCTGTGTTTGGTCAAATGAAATAATAATAATAATAATAATAATAATAATACATCAAACTTATATAGCGCTTTTTTTGGACACTCAAAGACGCTTGACAAAACACAATAGAATAGAAATAAATATTGAAAAACAAAATTAAGTTTCTGAGTTTCTGATGGAATTTTAATTAAGTGTTATTCTTTTTGATTAAAAGAAAGGGCAGGGAAAGTGTGAGGTGTGTTTGTTGTTGTGCAGCCATTTCCTAGTCTACAGTGTTTTACAGTGATCTGCGATAATGAAACAATTGTCCGAATACAATCATGTGCCTCTGCGTTATTATTATTTATCAGTGTTTTTGTTTTCTCGATCTATTTCAATCGACATATGAGCCTCAAGCCACAACTTTTTGCAAGTATTTTATTGTCCGGCTGATTCTGTGTGTGACTTCTGAAGGTTGATTTATTCATTTGGCTAATATACAGGCTTAAAGAGAAACTGTATTTTTGAGAAAACCAGAATTAGATGAGTTGTATTGTGAAAATAGCCAATAATTTTGTTGTCTTTTATTAATCATTTTTCAACTTGTTTTAACACAAGAAATGCCAAAGTAAAGATTAAATATCAATATGATTGAAGTTATGATATGATTTATGTAGAACTGTAAAACCAACTAAAAGTTTTAAAACAATCAATGATTTCTCACATCACTCATGGCATTATCTTGGACATCCTGAATGATGAAATTGGTCCAGAGTGGGCGGCCATTTGTCTGGAGTTAGATTTATTGCTTGTACGCAGCAAAAGTTTAGGGTTCAGCATTTGTCAAAAACAGGAGACATGAAGCGTGAAAAGAAGATGAGGAGACCAGACTGGACTGTAAAAACCGAAAACACAAAAGTACTGTTTGAGGACAAACTTTAAAGAACACGTATGACTTATTTGTGTCCGTGTTTCCCTTTAAACATGAATGAACAGAACATTCTCTTGATGTTAAAGAAGTCATTTCTATACAGTACCAAACTTGCAAATCACAAGAACGTTTAATGATAGTATTCTCTCATTTATCACAGGGGTTACATTTGGAAAAAAAAACAACTCAATAAATCCACGAAGCAGCAAATATGTATTTGTTTCAAGGAAATAAAACACATGTAAAGGATTGTATGATGGATAATGAAGAGGCGACAGTGGCTCAGTTGGCAGAGCTTTGGTCTTTCTGGCCAGAAGGTCGAGGGTTGGAGTCCACCACAAGACCTACTTCTCGATGATGATGATGATGATGATGATGATCACTGATGTCTTCTGTCGTTGTGTCCTTGGGCAAGACACTTGACCCCACTTTGCCTGAAGCCCCCGCTGAAAGATCTAGGCTCCTGTGGACTCACCACCTGCAGGAGGATCAGTGAGGGGCTGGGGCTCTGTGGACTGGATGCAGCTCTGACTGCCACCCCCCTGACCCAGAAATGGATGAAGGGGAAGAAGATGGATGGATGATTAATGAAAAGGATCCATATCACTTTCATCAAGTGATCAACTAAATGACTGATTTTAAGACAGGTTTGATCCATTTATGACACATAAAATGGGTTTCTATTTTATGAAGAGATTTTTATTTTTGATTTATATTTATCTAGTAAAGAACAAACTGCATTCTGATTCTATGAACTGTTTTCTGCTTTGTCATGTGTCTTTTTTAAATCCAGCTGAAAGTAATTTTGTACCTAAAGGTTTTGCTGATAACTCTTAACAGTGTGACATCTGTGATGTCACATTCTGCATCCTTTTCTCAAGATCAAAGGTCAAGGGAATAATGAGAACAAATCTTGTAACAATCATTGTAGCCCAAATACATTTGTTCCGTTGCGTTACTTCATTGACTTGAGGTACTGCAGTAGTGCGTGGTCATGCAGTATTATTTGCCGTCTTGTGTTATACTTACCTCCAGTGAGCCTCGGGCTGTCTCCACACAGCAACCACAGAAGTACTTCAAACTGCTCCCCTGGTACTGCTACTGCGATATATCACTTCATACACATTCCATAAGAACCGCGCGCTGTTGCCTTTGGACCCGGACCAGACCAGACCAGACCAGACCAGACCCTTACGTAAATCTCAGCTGCGGATAAGTGAAAACACAGGCCTCAACCAGGTTTAATCCATGTGCCGTGTGTCCATTTGTTTGTTTGTTGTTTGTCTTTTTATCTTGTTGTAGTTTGGGTGAACTTTTGAAATGAGACAAACCTGGAGTGATCCTGGTTCTCAGCGCTTTCAGAGCGATGGAAAATCAGGCTTTAGAATATGTTCTCTTCAACACGTCTTTATGAGTCTGCAGGACTTCCTGTGACGCTGACTCAGCACAGGCACTGCTCATGTCTACTGCATCATACTATACACATACACACACAGTACACATACACACATACAGTACACACACATACACACACAAACAGTACACATACACACAGACAGACACACACTGTACACATACACATACACACATACAGTACACACACATACACACACTCGTCAGACAAAGTTAAACCCAGAAACTTGCACTCCTCTACAATCTTTTCATGCAACCTAAGGCTCCAGTGTACAACAACTGTTTTTTTCTTGACAATTACATACCACAGCAAACTCCATCCTATTTTATGCCACGGACAAAAACGCACAAAACGTCCTATGTCACAAACTAAGATGTAAGGAGAGAATGCAGTCATTTTCTTTTTGTGTCTTAACTGTTGATTCTCTGATCTGTGTTGGTGATTTCAATGTTTATATTAAGTCCGCTGAGATGACTTCTGTTGTGATTTAGGGCTATACAAGAATAAATTGTATTGTATGTGGCATTGTTCATTCACCGCCCTGGGAGAGCCTGACACAAGCAAGAAGAAATGTGGGTGAATTGTCTCTCGAACACATGAACAGTTTAGCACTTTGTAACTACAGCCGCCCCACTGTAGCACCTGGTGTTCCCAGAGGTCTCCCATCACAAACTAACCAGGCTTGAGGTCCGCTTAACTTCGGACATCTGACGGGAAGTCCGATGCATGTGGCGACTTATGGGAGAACACTCAGTAAGATAAACACTTTAATTAAAAAAGCCTGTGGCACCGGTCCTCACTCCTCACTGACCACATCATTAAAGAGCAGAAAGAAAAGCTTTAGTCACTGTCTGCGGTGAGGGCCATGGTCTGGGGCAGCTCCGTCACCTGCTGCATTCTGGGTCTCAACAATAGTGAAAATACTGTTCAGAAAATGAAAAGGTGAAGTGTAGTATGTTGCTAAAACGAGAAACAACAGAGAGAGAAAAATGTTCCACTAATGCTTGTCAATGGTTGTGTGCATTTGTGTGTTATTGTGTCGTAAAGCCGGTGTGTTTCTGCTCTAGGGTGATCTCCTATGAATGCTGTCCCGGCTACGAGAAGGTCCAGGGAGAGAAGGGCTGTCCAGCGGGTGAGTACAGACGAGAATGTGATCTGTGCACAAATCCACCAGTGTTTATACTTTCTTTGAAGGCTGAGGGGGGGGCCTTTCTGAGTGGAGTTTGCATGTTCTCCCTGTGTCTGCGTAGGTGTCCTCCGGGAGCTCCAGTTTCTCCTACCACTAAAAACATGTACAATAGGTCTGTCTGGCATGCACCTCCTGTGTGGAGTGAGGACAAATTCCCACAATTGTAATCCGCTTTGTGACTATGGTCTGTGAAAGGCGGTAAAGATTACTCACTTACTTACCTAAATGACTGATTCAAAGACTGCAAAAAGTAGTCCACTCTGATCACCCGAGTGAGACATCATCAGAGACCCAACTGATGTCACTCACAATATGAACTGATTAAATTAAAAACTCCTTCGTGTCTGTCCATAAAACTGTTAATTTTACAGATGTGGTCGTCCTGTGATGTTTTGTTTTGTACATAGTTTTGTCAGTGTGGTGCTACTGACCGCCCTGCTCCAAGACGAATTACTTTCTCGGGAGATTAATTCATAAATACATTTTAGTACTGCCCATGATACGAACCCTAGATACGTCTATGGTTAGCTCTGAATACTGGCCCCTACAGTGTGAGTGGTCAGTTACCCTCTGTGTGAGTGGTCAGTTACCCTCAGTGTGAGTGGTCAGTTACCCTCTGTGTGAGTGGTCAGTTACCAGTTACCCTCAGTGTGAGTGGTCAGTTACCCTCTGTGTGAGTGGTCAGTTACCCTCTGTGTGAGTGGTCAGTTACCCTCAGTGTGAGTGGTCTGTTACCCTCAGTGTGAGTGGTCAGTTACCCTCTGTGTGAGTGGTCAGTTACCCTCTGTGTGAGTGGTCAGTTACCCTCTGTGTGAGTGGTCAGTTACCAGTTACCCTCAGTGTGAGTGGTCAGTTACCCTCTGTGTGAGTGGTCAGTTACCCTCTGTGTGAGTGGTCAGTTACCCTCAGTGTGAGTGGTCTGTTACCCTCAGTGTGAGTGGTCAGTTACCCTCTGTGTGAGTGGTCAGTTACCCTCTGTGTGAGTGGTCAGTTACCAGTTACCCTCATTGTGAGTGGGCAGTTACCCTCTGTGTGAGTGGTCAGTTACCCTCAGTGTGAGTGGTCAGTTACCAGTTACCCTCAGTGTGAGTGGTCAGTTACCCTCAGTGTGAGTGGTCAGTTACCCTCAGTGTGAGTGGTCTGTTACCCTCAGTGTGAGTGGTCAGTTACCCTCAGTGTGAGTGGTCAGTTACCCTCTGTGTGAGTGGTCAGTAACCCTCTGTGTGAGTGGTCAGTTACCCTCAGTGTGAGTGGTCAGTTACCCTCTGTGTGAGTGGTCAGTGACCCTCTGTGTGAGTGGTCAGTTACCCTCAGTGTGAGTGGTCAGTTACCCTCTGTGTGAGTGGTCAGTTACCAGTTACCCTCAGTGTGAGTGGTCAGTTACCCTCTGTGTGAGTGGTCAGTTACCAGTTACCCTCAGTGTGAGTGGTCAGTTACCCTCAGTGTGAGTGGTCAGTTACCCTCTGTGTGAGTGGTCAGTTACCAGTTACCCTCTGTGTGAGTGGTCAGTAACCCTCTGTGTGAGTGGTCAGTTACCCTCTGTGTGAGTGGTCAGTTACCCTCAGTGTGAGTGGTCAGTTACCCTGTCAGTAACCCTCTGTGTGAGTGGTCAGTTACCCTCTGTGTGAGTGGTCAGTTACCCTGTCAGTAACCCTCTGTGTGAGTGGTCAGTTACCCTCTGTGTGAGTGGTCAGTAACCCTCTGTGTGAGTGGTCAGTGACCCTCTGTGTGAGTGGTCAGTTACCCTCAGTGTGAGTGGTCAGTTACCCTCAGTGTGAGTGGTCAGTTACCCTGTCAGTAACCCTCTGTGTGAGTGGTCAGTTACCCTCTGTGTGAGTGGTCAGTTACCAGTTACCCTCAGTGTGAGTGGTCAGTTACCCTCAGTGTGAGTGGGTCGTTACCAGTAACCCTCTGTGTGAGTGGTCAGTTACCCTCAGTGTGAGTGGTCAGTTACCCTCAGTGTGAGTGGTCAGTTACCCTGTCAGTAACCCTCTGTGTGAGTGGTCAGTGACCCTCTGTGTGAGTGGTCAGTTACCCTCTGTGTGAGTGGTCAGTTATCAGTTACCCTCAGTGTGAGTGGTCAGTTACCCTCAGTGTGAGTGGTCAGTTACCAGTAACCCTCTGTGTGAGTGGTCAGTTACCCTCAGTGTGAGTGGTCAGTTACCCTGTCAGTAACCCTCTGTGTGAGTGGTCAGTTACCCTCAGTGTGAGTGGTCAGTAACCCTCAGTGTGAGTGGTCAGTTACCAGTTACCCTCAGTGTGAGTGGTCAGTAACCCTCAGTGTGAGTGGTCAGTAACCCTCTGTGTGAGTGGTCAGTTACCCTCAGTGTGAGTGGTCAGTTACCCTCAGTGTGAGTGGTCTGTTACCCTCAGTGTGAGTGGTCAGTTACCCTCTGTGTGAGTGGTCAGTTACCCTCAGTGTGAGTGGTCAGTTACCCTGTCAGTAACCCTCTGTGTGAGTGGTCAGTTACCCTCAGTGTGAGTGGTCAGTAACCCTCAGTGTGAGTGGTCAGTTACCAGTTACCCTCAGTGTGAGTGGTCAGTAACCCTCAGTGTGAGTGGTCAGTAACCCTCTGTGTGAGTGGTCAGTTACCCTCAGTGTGAGTGGTCAGTTACCCTCAGTGTGAGTGGTCTGTTACCCTCAGTGTGAGTGGTCAGTTACCCTCTGTGTGAGTGGTCAGTTACCCTCAGTGTGAGTGGTCAGTTACCAGTAACCCTCTGTGTGAGTGGTCAGTTACCCTCAGTGTGAGTGGTCAGTTACCCTGTCAGTAACCTTGTGTGAGGGTCAGTTACCCTGGTGAGTGGTCAGTTACCCTCTGTGTGAGTGGTCAGTTACCCTCTGTGTGAGTGGTCAGTACCCGTCAGTAACCCTCTGTGTGAGTGGTCAGTTACCCTCTGTGTGAGTGGTCAGTAACCCTGTGTGTGAGTGGTCAGTGACCCTCTGTGTGAGTGGTCAGTTACCCTCAGTGTGAGTGGTCAGTTACCCAGTGTGAGTGGTCAGTTACCCTCTGTGTGAGTGGTCAGTTACCCTCTGTGTGAGTGGTCAGTTACCAGTTACCCTCAGTGTGAGTGGTCAGTTACCCTCAGTGTGAGTGGTCAGTTACCAGTAACCCTCTGTGTGAGTGGTCAGTTACCCTCTGTGTGAGTGGTCAGTTACCCTCTGTGTGAGTGGTCAGTTACCCTCTGTGTGCCCTGACCACAGCGCTCCCTCTGGTGAACATCTACCACACCCTGGGGGCAGTAGGGGCCACCACCACTCAGATGTACACAGACCGAGCGGAGCTGAGACCAGAGATCGAAGGACCAGGGAGCTTCACCTTCTTTGCCCCGAGCAACGAGGCCTGGGCTGCTCTGCCGACGGTGAGTACTGCTACTGCTACTGCTACTACTACTACTACTGAAAACCTCTACAGCAAACTCCTACTGATACTTTTACTGCTTCTTATATTGCTACTGTTACTTCTACTGCTTATGCAAACTTCTACTTCTACTATTACACCTACTGCTACTTTTACTGCTTCTACTACTATTTTTGCCGTTGTTTCTTCTGCTGCTGCTGCTACTTCTACTGCTTATGTAAACTTTTACTCCTACTTCTACTACTACTCCAACTGCTACCTCTACTGCTGCTGTTACTACAACTGCTACTGCTTCTACTACTGCTACTTTTACTGCTGTTACTACTACTGCTACTGCTGCTACCACTACTACTACTTCTACTGCTATTGCTACTGCTACTTCTACTTCTACTACAACTACTACTTCTACTACTGTTGATATTGCTACTGTTATTACTACACACACCATCGTTGCTGCTACAGCTACTTCTATTGCTTATGCAAACATCTACTTCTACTATTACTCCTACTGCTACTTCCACTGCTGCTGTTACTACTACTGCAACTGCTACTACTACTTTTACTACTATTGTTGCTGTTGTTACTGCTGCTGCTGCCGCTACTGCTACTTCTAAACTTTTACTCCTACTTCTATACTATTCCCACTGCTACTTCTACTGCTGCTGTTACTACAACTGCTACTGCTACTACTACTTTTACTGCTACTACTTCTTCTGCTACTGCTACTTCTACTACTACTACTACTACTACTATTGATGTTGCTACTGTTACTGCTACTCAAACTATTGTTGCTGTTGTTACTGCTGCTGGTATTACTGATGAAAACACTGATTGGTCAATGGTCACAAAAGACAGTCATTCAGTACATGGATATACAGTATGTCCGGGATCTTCCTTAGAGCCTCCACATTCAGCAGAAAAACCCTTGATGTGTTGTCCTGTTGTCATGTTGACATGCTTTTGTCTTGTAGGAGATTCTGGACGCACTGGTCAGTAACGTGAACATCGAGCTGCTGAACGCTTTGCACTACCACATGGTCAACAAGAGGCTGACCTCAGAGGAGCTGAAGCACGGAGCCACCTTCACCTCCATGTACCAGGACTTCAACGTGCACATTCAGCACTACTCCAACGGGGTGAGGACTGGACTGGACTGGACCAGGACTGGATCAGCACCACAGATCTATAATAATATCTGGATAGGATTGTAAGGTTTTTTTCTTGACAATTACACACCACAGCAATCTCCATCTTAATTTGTGCCACGGACAAAAACGCACAAAAACGTCCTATGTCACTCACTAAGATGTAAGGAGAGAATGCAGTCATTTTCCAAAACCAAGGAGCGTTTACACTCAGATAATAAAAAATAATGCATTGGTCTTATACAGCGCTTTTCAGGACACTCAAAGACGTTTCACATGTCATTTTTCACTCCAAACATTATAATGATAAACTACTAGTGTAGCCACAGCTGCCCTGGAGCACACTGACAGAAGCGAGGCAACCTTTAGGAGCCATTTACACACCAGACTCATTCAGGGCAATGTGGGTGAAGTGTCTAGCTTAAGTACAACCCCAGTTTGGCACTTTACAGCCGCAGCTGCCCCACTGTGGCACCTTGTGTTCAAAGAGGTCTCCCATCACAGTACTTACTAGGCCCTGCCCTGCACAGCTTCAAAGGTCTGACGGGAAGTATGGTCACAAAAAAGGAAACTATTAATTCTGTCCTTGGTGGCCTGGTACTGGTCTGCGGACTGGGGGTTGGACACCTACACTTTTCCTAATAATGTCGTCATTTGGTTTATGAACATTTGTCACGGCTCGAACACTCAAAACCTTATGGGAAACGTAGATCTACTGTGTATGCTTGAAGAGGTCCAATACGCTACAGAATACCACCAGAATACCTTGTCACAGAAGCTTTTGGATTCCATTTAGCAGCCAACTTTGAAGCGCTGGGATTTGGTCCTGGTCTTTGTCTTGGCCCAGAGATCCAAAATGGCTTCTAGTGTGTCATTTGTATTTCTGTGACTAGAAAGGAAACTGAATTAAATGAATGGATAGACGTTTGCATGATAAAGCTGTTGATTTAGCTGAATAGTATGTGAATCACATGTATTGCCTTATGTTAGCTTGCCTTCTATCCTGAAATCGGATTCAGCAAGTGATTAGTTGCCCTGAAATGATTTGGTTTGATTATTTTGACCAATGAGGTGATATCGGATAATTTCTGAAGGCACATCAAGCAGCAGCTCAAGGCACACTAATGGACCACGGCACACTGGTTGAAAAACTCTGGGCTATGGACTAGAGCAGAAGGGTCACAGAGAAGGTATGAACCTTTTTGAAGACTGTGGGTCAGATGAACACAGATAATAATAATGATAATGCATCAGTTTTACATAGCACTTTTTTGGACACTCAAAGACACTTTACATGTTATTATTCTTTCACTCCATACACGGTGGTGATGAACTACTACTGTAGCCACAGCTGCCCTGGGGCACACTGACAGAATCGAGGCAACCAGTATGCGCCATTCACACACAAACCAGACTCATTCTAGGCAATGGGGGTGTCTTGCCTAAGGACACCATGCCAATTTGGCACTTTACAGCCACAGCCGCCCCACTGTGGTTGGTGCTCCCAGAGGTTAAGTGTCTTGCCCAAGGACACAACGACAGCAGACAGTGGGAGTCGATGGTGAAAGTCAGGCTCGAACCCACGACCCTCTGGCTCAAAGGCCTATGCTCTACCAACTGAGCTACTGTTGCCCATTACTTGAAAAAGGCTTTCAGGGCTACAAGATATTTTTTGCTGCAGAAAAGCTGTAGTGTACTAAAAAGTGAACCAAGTCAAAGGCAGAGATTACAGCTTGTAGCAGCGTTTGTGGTAAAATGTGTTTCCATCGATATTATCATGCAGTAGCTCTTTTCCAGACGCTCATTGTTTTTGTGGGTGCCAGGCTGCCAGTCTGCAATAACTTTAATAGAGCATAATAGCATATAATTAAATAACATAACTGAGGGTGTATTTACATTTGCACAATCGTCCCGTCAAATGTGAGTTTAAACTAAGATCAAACTTTATTAATGATAATGATAATCATTCATTAGTTTTATAGCGTTTATAGCGCTAATCATTCACTCTGAACTACTAACTAGTCACAGCTGCCCTGGAACAGACTGACAGAAGTAAGGCTGCTAGCCATCAGCTCCACCGACTGGGGACAGCCACCAATCAATCACAGACTCACATCAGTTTTGTGTTCCAAGAGGTCTCCTATCATAGACTTAACCAGGCCCTACCCTGCTTAGCTTCTGACATCTGACAGGTTTAGGTTTTCACATGCAGGTATGGCCAAGAAGGATACAAAAATGACACAATAATAACCAAATGATGTCTCCATATCTCTTGTTGAATGAATTTGGTCAGATACTACTTCTTTATGTATTTATTTGAATTGGACAGTGCATGTTACTGAACTGACTTATTAGAAACATTAATGTAAACATGCCAGATTATTGCCCAAAACTAATCTCCTGTTGTCCCACGGGGTTAGGGTCACAAGGGTTAAATACAGAAAAACAAACAAAACAACATAGGCTTGCATTCCCCACAGTCCACACCTTCATAATCTGACCAAGAGTCCACATCATTGCACACATCCCATCATAGTATACATCCTGTTATCGCTCAAATCCTGTTATTGCACACATCCCTGCATCACAATCAGCCAATATTTCACACAACCTAATATTGCACATGACCCATTTCCACACAAATCCCTATTGCACACATGTACACCCAACATTATAATCACAGGTACAAGAATGCCATTTATAAACTTTTTGTCACAAGCTGCGAGGATTTCAAACTACCACAAATATTTACCAAAAAAAATACACACTTTAAAGGTCCCATATTGAGCACTTCACAGTCCATCCTAAGCACATGTGTGGTAATAATTTGGGTAATACAGCACTCAAAACTACTACATTAGAGCCATTTCTTGCATAAAGATGTGATCTGAATTGAAAGGGGTAGATCTCTGCTCCTTCCCCTGTGCGAGAATGAAAGAGATCGCTCTCTAACTAAAACTTGAAAAAAATACTTTAGCCATGTTTATGAAGGCAAAATAGCACTGTAATGAGATTTAAAGCTGAGAAAAGTCAAACATGTCCTAATATGGGATCTTTGCAGGACTACATGCACATGCTCATACCTGGCCTGTGTTTTTGTGTGCCCCCTACAGATTGTGACGGTGAACTGCGCTCGCCTGATCAAACCAGATCAACATTCCACAAACGGCATCGTGCACGTGGTGGACCGCGTCATTACGGCTGTGTCCAACGACGTGCAGACTATCATCGAGGTGGACGACGATCTGGAAACACTCAGGGTAAAAACACATTAACAGTTTCAGATTGTCCTCAAAAGATACATTTGACAACGTCCAATTTCATATCACCAAGTAATTAACACTCCAGGATTTGTCTGAAAATTTAACCTTTACCCTAATGCTCCTGATTGGGTAAACCTAGGTTGCTATATATATATATATATATATATATGCAGTATATAGGAGCGATAGTAGCTCAGTTGGTAGAGCCTTGGCCTTTGGACCTGGAGATTGTGGGTTCGAGCCTACCATTGGACCTGCTCCCACAAAGGTCTATTGTCGTTGTGTCCTTGGGCAAGACACTTAACCCCATGTTGCCTGAAGGCCCTGCTGAAAGACCAGGGATGTTTCACTGCTGACAGTGGACTCCTGTGGACTCACCACCTGCAGAGGATCAGAGGGACTGGTGCTATGAGCAATGGGTGGCAGCTCTCACCCCCCCGACCCAGACATAGGACTAAGGCTATATCCACACGAAGACAAAACGCTTATAATTTCAGAAACTTTTTCTGTAAACACGGAGTTAGCTCAGTAAATGTGTGCGTCCATATGAATGTAGTCAATACGCCTGAAAACGCTGTGAAACTATGCCAGACCTGTTGGTGGCGCTGTGACGCAATGACGGGATCAAGCCTAAACTTCCGTGACGGGAACTGGGCATGCGCAGAATTTTGTAAACAGATAACATGGCGAGTGGGCGAGCTGGTACTACATTAGTATGGACGGACGATGAGGTTGAACTGTTGCTTCGGGTCACACTGGATTACAAAACCAACAAGCTACATTGTTGTTGTCATTATTTTCTGAGTGCGGCGCATGCGTGCTTTAACAAGAGGCGGGGCGATGACGCAAGCGTCTCAGATACATTGCGGAGAGGCAGTAACCACGGAGCGGCATATACGGAGTTTTGAAATCTTTCCACTCTGGGACCTACTTTCAAAAATGTTCGTTTACACCCCCCCAAAACGCCGGCCTCGTATGGACGATACACTGGATTGATAAAGTATTTTTGCGTTTAGGCCTGAGCTTGACTTCGTGTGGACAGGGCCTTATAAAGGGCTGGAAAATGAATGAATGAAAGTTGTGGTATACTGTATACTGTATGAAGGCTGGTTGTAAATTTCTCCTGTGTGAGATCAATAAAGTCTATCTTATCTTATAGATTAGCAAAAAAAAAGGATTAGTCTGCACAGGCTTCATCTGCTGCATTTGAGCAGTATGGGTGACATCACAGTCCAATCCTTTTTGTCCGGATGAAATATATCATATTTCTTAAAAAATGTATGGCTTGATAAAATCTAACATTCACTGTCAATCTCGTACGGCCCTTATAATATTTGGATGTCTTTAGCAGCTTTGGCTCCTAAAACTACCTCTGCTCTTGTTTCTCTTTCCGTTTCATAGACTGCTATTGCTGCAGCTGGGCTCACGGCGATGCTGGAGTCTGGGGGCCACTACACCGTTTTCGCTCCAACAAATGAAGCCTTCGAAAAGATCCCGACAGAAACCCTGAACCGTATCCTGGGAGACCCCGTGGCCCTGAAAGGTGCGGCCTTGTCCTGTGTTTGCAGATAATACATCAGGGATTTTTGTTTAACTTGACACCTACTGTAGTCTTTGTTTAGACCTGCTTTAGTCCTGGCAGTATGGCTCTGGTGTGTGCTTTGATATTTGGTGTTGTTTGGTGGGGCCGATGGCACAGACTGGTTTCCTCTCTCCTGTCAGTCTGCCTCAGAGCAGCTGTGGCTACATTTGTAGTTTTCTGCCACTGTACGGAGTTAATGAATAATGAGAAGTGAGTTTGTATAAAACCAAAGCTGTTCTTGTTCTTTAGAGTTTATTCTTCTTCTGACAATTCACCAATTTTACTTTTACAGACTCACTAGGGCTGTAACTTTTGACACTTTTGCACTTTTTTACTACAAAAAAGTTTTCATACTTTCTTCCCATTGACTTTGATTGGGAATTTGTACTTTTCATCAAATTAGTACTTCTACTCTGAGGCTACAGTGGCTCAGTTGGTAGAGCACTGGCCTTTGAGCCTGAAGGTCATGGGTTCGAGCCCTTCTAACCTTCTCCACCTTCTCCCACTGACGTATCCTGCCGTTGTGTCCTTAGGCAAGACACTTCACCCCCATTGCCTAGAATGAGTCTGGTGTGTGTGTGAATGGTTGGTGGTGGTCGGAGGGGCTGATGGCACAGACTGGTTGCCTCGCTTCTGTCAGTGTGCCCCAGGGCAGCTGTGGCTACAGTAGTAGTTTATCACCACCGTGTTTGGAGTGAAATAATAATGACTTCTTTGAGTGTCCAAAAAAGCGCTACATAAAACCGATGCATTATTATTTAATTAAGTACTTTTTAGCATTTGTTTTTTTCTCTAAGTTTGTTTGTTTGTTAGTTTGTTAGTTTTATTTTAGTCTCTTCATTTCAGGCTACAATAGTCAACAAAACATTCAAAGTAAAACTAGATTTGGACAAATTCCATACCCGGTTCAAGACCAGACCCAGACGACACCCAGACACTTCTGCAAGACCAGATCCAAAAATTGCCGCAGGACCAGACCCGGACCAAAACCAGAACCTCACCAAAAACAGACCAGAACCACTCAAAGACCAGACAGGACTCGACTCAAACAAAAACCAAACCTGGACCAAGATCAGACCAGGTCCATGACCAGACCAGAGTGAATACATTCTGTCTTGTGTGCTTTAGTCCTACTTTTATCCTGCTTTAGACCTGCTTTAGACCTGCTTTAGTCTAGCTTCAGGCCGGCTTTTGTACTGCTTTAGACCAGCTTCAGTGCTTTTTAGACCTGCTTTAGTCCAGCTTAATTACTGCTTTAGACCTGATTTAGCCTGGCCATAGCCATCCGTACACTCCGCTCAATCATCATTTCACTGCATGTAACGTTTGGGTCTGGTCCCTGTGTTTGTGATTACAATCGGTCATATTTCGACCGGCTACCCAGAGAGCGCGTTGTAGGTCGGTGCCAGTGACGTCGAGAGTTTGCGCCGAACGGGCTGGTTGTAGTTTGGTAATTGCGGAGAATGCGATAGTTAAGTAATCCGGTCTGGTTCTATCAAGAAATTTAAGCAAGAGGAATGTTTAGCAAATGTAATCGCTGGTCAAGATTGTGGCGCTACTCCCCACGGGCTCCGTTAGCGGCAAAGGAGATGGCTAAAGCTAGGCTAAATGCTAATGCTAATGCAAAAAAAAAATAATAATAATAATATGCTAACAACTCACTCGGGCGCATTGCATATGTCACAGTAAACTCAGATCCAATTGTTTCAATCTGTAAAAGGAGTTAACCCCTCCCACCTGTTCACGGAGCTCAATGGAGCAAATCCAGACCTTACTATGAAATGAAATTTGTACTAAGGTGTGGTACAACCGGGCTAGACCTCATTCAGTCCATATTCAATTCTGCTTTAGACCTGCTTTAGAACTGCTTTATATCTCTTTTACTCCTGGTTAAGTCCTGGTTAAGTTCTGGTCAAGTCCTGGTTAATACCGGGTTAAGTCCTGCTTCAGACCTGCTTCAGACCTGCTTTAGACCTACTTTAGACCTACTTTAGACCTGCTTTAGACCTGCTTTAGACCTGCTTTAGATCTCCTTTACTCCTGGTTAAGTCCTGCTTCAGTCCTGCTTCAGATCTGCTCAGCCCTGACCCTCTCTCCCGTTGCAGATATGTTGAACTACCACATCCTCAGGAACATGCAGTGTGCTGAGTCCATCGTGGCGGGTGCTCCCATGGAGACTCTGCAGGGGACGGTCCTGGAGGTGGGCTGTGACGGAGATGACCTCACCCTGAACGGAAAAGCCATAGTCACCAAGAAAGACCAGCTGGGAACCAACGGAGTGGTGCATTACATCAACGAATTGCTCATCCCAGACTCAGGTGACTCATATACATCAGATGTTGTTCTCGTCTTGGATATTTTTATGCCACTGAAAAAAGTACCAAGCTTCTGACTCTGACCAGTTCCCAATTCTCTTGAAACACTCCCACATTCGAGCCTTGTTTCTCACCCATCCATCCATCCATTTTCTACCCTTTAATCCATTTCTGGGTCAGGGGGGTGGCAGTCAGAGATGCCACCCAAGTCTCATAGCACCACGTCCCAGTCACGTCCCAGTGTTATCAAAACAACAACAACAACAACACCTTTTTCTTGTATAGCCCTAAATCACAACAGAAGTCATCTCAGAGGACATAAAAATATGAATTGGTCCATAAGAGAGACCAATGTCCATGAATGTTGATAAATGTCATACATGTTGTAGAATGTTAAAGTGTCCTGGATCATCACCACAGTCCTTCTAGTTGGGCTCTAAATGTCCAACAGACCCTCCTGCATCAGCAAGGAAATACTTACAGTATAAAAACCCAGTGGGGAAAAAAAAGTGAGAAGCCTCGGGGAGACCCACATTTGAGAAAGGAATTCGGTCTACACGGACGGACAGGCTATAGATCCAGGACCTAAACTACTGAACGAGGACCAATGCCACGCAGCTGCCGCAGAGCGTGGACAAAATTATTGATCGGTCTCAGTTATCCCATGAGCGGTACTTTAAAGTTGGGTACCAAACTTTCTTTTGTTTCACACCTGTTGTTTGTACCAATATGTTTTATTGTGTATTTATTGGACATTTGAAAAAAAGTTTCTAGTTCCAAGTAAACTATAAAAGCAACTACTCAATATTCAGTTTCTATTTTTGAGAATACAATTTGTATTGTTTATAAAACAGTTTTATGTTTTTCAGTCTTTCATTTCATGTATTTCATTTTCTGTAGCAAAGACCCTTCTGGAGATTGCAGAGAGCTCCAACGTAGCCATGGCAACCAAGCTGTTTGTGGAGGCAGGGCTGAGCGGGCACCTGACCGGTACAGAGGCACTAACGCTGATGGTGCCTCAGGACGAGGCCTTCACAGGTGAGTGGCTCTTTATACATTCAGAAAATGTGGCTGATAAATATTCTGGTCATGCTCAAAGCTTGACCAGAATATTTATTAAATCATGATCTACGGATGATTCTCTGAGCTATGTTTCCATGTACCTGGGGCTTTATGCTCCAGGTAGGGTCTCCCATGACAGACAGATTCAAAGTAAAGAGCTGTGACATTAACAGGTTCCCAGGCCTTTGCCCACGGGGCCCTTTTCAGGCTCAGCTCAAAAGAACAACGTGGGGGAAAGGCTCTGGAACCCAACTGCTTGAAAGGGGTCGGTTGTGCATCCCTCGTGCAGTGTTGGGACTCCGGGGAAGGAGACACACGTTGGAGGGACTTTATCGCTCAGCTGGCCTGGGAATGCCACAGGATTTTCCAGAGCTGGAGAAAGTGTGAGGATAATGAAGTCTGGGCGTCTCTGGTCAGACTGCTGCCCTCGTGACCCGGGATGGAAAACACAGCAGAAGCAAAACAGATGAGAATTGATGCTTTGTGCCCTTTTCTTTTCTCATATCCACCATGTAATGCTTTTTGAGTGTGATGTCATCCAGAATCTGATCTGTCCGGGGGGTGTGGTCTTATTGCAGGCAGCTTGTCGATGAACCCCTCGATGAAGACTCTCCTGTCCCACCACATCCTCAAAGAGCGTCTGTCCTCCAAGTCCCTGTACCATAACCAGCTGCTGGAGACCCTAGGGGGCCTCAAACTCCGAGTCTTTGTCTACAGAAACGTGAGTACTTACATTATGTGTATTTATTGTGTCCCTTAATCCTGATCTTGAGAATTTTGATACTGTATATACAGTATCATACTTTGGTGTCTCAGGTTTTAGAATGTGAAATGACCATAAGCCACTCATATTCTCCTCACTTCAATGAATACTTGTTGTCTTTAATTATGATGTATTTTACATACTGAGAGCTGATTTGAATGCCTGAGGGCAGGTACTCTCTTCTTCACACAGAAAATGTATGTGTGAAAAGATGGGACAGAGGACAAAATACATGTAAAAACAACTGTAGCACAGTTAATTTTTTGTGGTTTGAAAGTTAGGTAACTCAAGCTTTCATTAGAAAAACATGAAATTTATGCCAAAATTGACACATAGGCTGCTGTGATTGGCTGTGAGGCTGATGCTTTGTTGCCGGGCAGACTATGGCTCCTCAGAGGGGATCTAAAGGCGTTATTTCTTTGGTTGTGGGCTTCAGTCTGCTTCAGATTAATGATAAAAGTACATGGAGAAGATCTGCCTCAGTCTGGGCCGACACGTACAGGTCAGACTGGACAGGTGGTTAACTACTACTCACTACTGGAACTTCTACTTTAAAGAACAAATAGGATGCATTATTAGTGTTTTTTTGGTGCTATAAAAATAATATTTACAATATTGAATGTATAGAATGTGGTTCTATAGTGTAAAATAATGATTTGAAACTGATTTTTCTGTTGAATAGAATTAATATAAATGTCATGTTTTAGAAGGCAGAAAACAGCTGTGCCTTCTAAAGCGCTTCACAGTCCATATCACCCAAGGCACAAATCATCACATAAAACAAACACCAGAATCACAATTAATACATTCTATGACATCATAATGATGCCAATCCTTGACATCATTCTAAGCATTGGTCATACAGCTGAACAGGGGGTCTGCAGGACCAGAAGTACACTATAGATCTATTTAGATATTTCATAAGTTCTATGAAAAATGTCCAAAATGTTCTGCTGGTGGTCCTAGTTTTTACATTAAGTCCAGAGTCCCAAACTACCCAGGCCCACACCAGACTGAGACGTAATTTGCAAAAAAAAAGAATTCATCATTTATCATCACAATGATTCTGAATGCGAGCCAGAGCACTTCCACAGTGGTACCAGGCCCGGTGGTAGTTCTCAGTGTGGTTGAATGTAAATCTCCCGCATGTATGACATCAGCGCGGTTTCCCCTGCCCCCTCCTCGCACTGTATCCTACACATCTGCTTTTGGGATCATCATTAATCAAGACCAGGCATGAACCCCATAACCTGAGGACCTACTGAGGCTCGGATCTGCTGTAGACCTTCACCTTTTATTCCATCAATTCCTTTCATATCATTCATCTTGGTTGATCTCTGTAAAATGTAGTGTAGCTCATAGGATCATTAACAATATGAGTTTTGGCATTCATAACATCACTAGTTCTCGCCAATGCAGCAGTAATAGTTATTTTGGCAATATAACAGGAGTAAATTTGCCAGTTGTAGCATTAGAACCTCCAGCCAATGCCCGACTAATAGTTATTTTTGTTTTAAAATGTTTCTGTAGAAAATCCTAACCAGTGACCAAGAGTTGTATGTTAGCATCTACTATAAACTCTGTATGCACCACATTAGCTGCAAGCCTTGTAAGTAGTAGTAGTAGCAGTAGTAGTTAGCTCAGGAGGCATCCCAAACAGATGTGCCGACAGCCTCCTCTCCACACGGAGCAGCAGTGGCTCCTCAGTTGTAGTAATTAAAGCATTAGAAGAATAGTGCTCAAATGCAGCAATTTAAAACGTGTTAAGTCTCACCTAATTTGTCCCATCCTCGCCTGGTGTTTTTTTTAACATAGCGTTAAAACCTCAGACAAAAGATCATACTTTGTCCTGCTTAAGTGATGCACAATTGGAAAGATAAGAAAATCTAGTTTGTGATTTACTACTTGATTATAATGTGAGTAAAGCCTGACTCTTGCCAGACCCTTGTAGTTCCGCCATGCTCCACCAGAGGCGCTTAGCTGTGCAGCTCAGCGAACCACAAGGGTCTGGCGTGAATCAGGCTAGTGTGAGTATAGCACAGTAAAATAGACAATGAACCTGTATTTGTCCCTCAGTGGGTCAATGTCATAGTTGTGCATGTTACAGCAGAAAGGAAAGATAAATAAGAGCTCTCAGAGTACATACCAAGGCCCCGGTGATCCAAGATGGCGCCCTATTCAAATAAATGTCTTGTGTTCAGTAGAGCATGGGACATAAATGGGGATCGTATTTGGGCCTCGTCTGGTCCTCCCGGTTCTGCACAGTGGACGAGCTCCCATGATAATTTTTTTTGCCAAATACGCGTGTGTGGCTCTCATGCATGTGCACAAAAGAGCTTGGACACGCTCTGCCCTCTGGACTATCATGAGTCCTGTCCAATTTATGATTCAAATGAATGTCCAGGTACTTGCAAAAGCCCACTCACATTTTGGCCTCCGTGTTGCAAACATATGCCAATGAGCACAGGTCATCGACTTGAACGGGCATCGTCAATGTGTTTGGAAAGGTGCTTGTTTGTATGTATGATGAAGCACTTTGAGTTGACTATTTGTGCTACAATTTAGATGAGAGTGGTAGAAGTATTAGTTTTAGTAGTGGAAGTAGTAGTAGTAGTAGTGAAAGTACAGCATGGTGTTGAGAAGGTCTCGAATTCCATTCTGTCTCAATGTGAGAAATAGATAGATAGATAGATAGATACTTTATTGATCCCCCGAAGGAGAAAATTCAGGTGTCCATTAGTAGCAAAAATAAAAAATAAAATTGATTATTCTAAAAAAAAAGATAATAATAGTAATAATCAGCCACAGCCCTTCAGGTCACAGCAGCACAGATGGAGTAGCCTCTTGGTGGAGCAGGAAGGGTCGCAGCATCACAGATGGAGTAGCCTCTGGGTGGAGCAGGACAGGTCAAAAGATGGAGTAGCCGCTTGGTTTGGACCATTTTCTCTGCTCTAGTCCTGCTAAATAAAAAATTAGCATTTTTCAAAAAGTCAGCATTCCTCCAGTGGATTTTCACCTGATCTGCTTGGTTTGGACCATGAATCCTCTCTGCTCCGGTCTGGACCAGTGCGAAACTTTGCACACTGTACTGAAGCAACATCTCAGGCAGAAAAAGCAATAAAAATAAAAATTGTAAAGCACAAAACAACAACTGTTAATCAGAGCTACTAAGGACTTGCAACCGTTACCTAGCACATCTTTCAACAAAAAAAATGTACTTAATGCAACAATTATACCTTAATATTAGTAGTATGGTGGTATGCAGATTCCAGCTTTTAAATCCTGATCACACGGTTTCAGTCCCTCATTTCAAGACAAAGACTATTCCAGATCTTCATCATGTAAAGATGTACAGTAGCAGTTTTGTACACGTGTCCCAGAGTCGTCCGAGGCCCAGCAGCCATGTGCATGTCAGCACTTTCCTTCCTATACTCCTTTAAATTAGATTATTACCTAAGTGTCAATCTCACATACTGTATTCTATTATCATTCATCATGGTGGGTTTAAAAAATGTGAGGTGAAAAGAGTTGTGAAGGAAAGACATGTGTTTCTGCTGGTGTGGAGAGGATGAGATTTCAATAGGAGACAGATGTAAGGGCCTCCTCTGGGGTTAACGCCGCTACCAGGTCGACTGCAGAACAAAGTGCTGATTCTTCCCTGTACGAGGTTAACGATGTTCAAGCCACGGAGAGGACGTTTAACAGCCAACATATTTACCCAGGGGTCTCAAAATCAATTTACTATATACAGTATCTGGGGGCCGCGTGAGGTTGAGTCTGGGTGAAGCTGGGCCGCATTAAAGGGGTATGTTTATCATGAGTTTGTGTGTGTGTATAAAATATATGAACGCAGATATATGCACACGCAGAGATACTTAGACTTAGACTTTATGGACCCACTAGGGACATTGCGTTGTCACACTAGCTTGCATAGTCTTTCACACAAAAAAATAAACTATCTTGAAATATGAATAATAATAAGATAATATTGTGAGAAAAATTAAATATCTGATTTACAATATAAACAAGGACAAAGCAGATAAACTTGAAGTCACTTCGAATCAAACCACTAAAATTGGATGAAAGTAATATACAGCTACGTTTCACACTGGGCATATTCTCAGATCCAGGACTGAGGCTGTAGATCCAGGACTGAGGCTGTAGATCCAGGATTGAGGCTGTAGATCCAGGACCGAGGCTGTAGATCCAGGACTGAGGCTGTAGATCCAGGACTGAGGCTGTAGATCCAGGACTGAGGCTGTAGATCCAAGACTGAGGCTGTAGATCCAGGACTGAGGCTGTAGATCCAGGACCGAGGCTGTAGATCCAACACTGAGGTTGTAGATCCAGGACTGAGGCTGTAGATCCAGGACTGAGGCTGTAGATCCAGGACTGAGGCTGTAGAACCAGGACTGAGGCTGTAGATCCAGGACTGAAGCTGTAGATCCAGGACCGAGGCTGTAGATCCAGGACTGAGGCTGTAGATCCAGGACCGAGGCTGTAGATCCAAGACTGAGGTTGTAGATCCAGGACTGAGGCTGTAGATCCAGGACGGAGGCTGTAGATCCAGGACGGAGGCTGTAGATCCAGGACCGAGGCTGTAGATCCAGGACTGAGGTTGTAGATCCAGGACTGAGGCTGTAGATCCAGGACTGAGGCTGTAGATCCAGGACTGAGGCTGTAGAACCAGGACTGAGGCTGTAGATCCAGGACTGAGGCTGTAGATCCAGGACTGAGGCTGTAGATCCAGGACTGAGGCTGTAGATCCAGGACTGAGGCTGTAGAACCAGGACTGAGGCTGTAGATCCTGTAACTCTGAAGTAAGCTTGTCTGTTAGAGCAGTGGTTCCCAGATGGGGTTCGCGAGATGATTTCCATTTAAAAGAAAACAAATATGTAGTCCTTTATATATTTTTGTTGCGGATGTTAAGATTTAATAGGAGTACTTGTTAAATTGAGGTTTAAATCTGATAAAAAATATAGAATATTTTAATTAAATTGGTAATTTTGTCCCAGATATTACAAGATCACAACAGCGTCAATCAAAATCAAGTTTTGAGGTGAGGTGGGGGATGTGGGGGGCAGCGGCGCATTTATCATGGGGTTTGCGGGCTAAAAAGTTTGGGAACCCCTGTGATAGAGCAAGAGTCAACTATCCAAGGGTCCCAGACTACTACTGTACAGGTGATGTCATACTCTATAATAAATGGTATGTACACATTAGCAATTCAGGCACAAATCAGTGGCACAGTTTTCACCAGAAAGTCAGTGCTCATGTTTATTCAGTGTTAAGTTTATTATTATATTTTCATCAACTTGTAATACTTAAAAATTGCGATGGTGAAAAAAAAAGATTGTAAAATAACTTCCAGTCAGAGCCTCGGGTTTGGCTCCAGTGGCTCCGTGTGGTTCATTCTGGACATGTTTTAATTCAGACCTGGTTTAGACCCGCATAGGTCCTTGTTCAGAGCTGGTCCTGGGGCAGGCCCGGTGCGGACGTGGGCTGCTGGGTGGTACACCGATCACAATTTCCATGCTACTTAAATTATTCCAGACCTCACTCATCCCAAAACCGCTTCAAGTCCTGCTAAGATCTGTGCTCAGACCCAGAAAATCTCTGCCTCTTCAGCGACTTTGTGCATGTGTGTGTGTGTGTGTGTGTGTGTGTTACAATCTAACCATGAAATGTTAATTATTAGATTTGTTTTGGGGTGTTTTATTCCACTGCGTGCGCGTGGGCGTGTGTGTGCAGAAGCCCGTGTGCGCGCCTGCACGTGTGTGTAAAACCCTTTTCCCCTGTCTCTTAAAACCTGACTTCAAATGAGAGGAAATATGCCCTGGGCTCCTCACAAATGCGCACATCTCTGGCCTATGACGGCACAGATCCTGAGGAGGGGCTGAGTTTAATGAACAACCACTGTATTGTGCTTTCCCTCACAGATGCTCACAGGACCGACTTCTTCTGTTCTGCCTTCTCTTGTCCATCTAGTTACAGTTGTGCTTGAAAGATTAAAAACTCAGGCAGAAATGTCAAATATTTGGCCGTGTTTTGGAGATCATGAATTATAAGGTATATTTGGCATAAAACCTCCAGGGCATGAACATTTGGGAGCTTAAATGAGCTCCCCAGATCCACTCAATGATGTTGTAATTAAAACATTGAAAACACATTTATTTGACAATGAATGCCCTCACACAACCAATAACAGTGTGTGAAAAATAATATGTATTGTATATTTACCTAATCTTGATTATGTGGCCAAAACTAAGAAGTCTAAAGCTGTGTAAACTCATAACGTACGTATCGTTTTTGTCCTAAAATATACTTTTTGGACAAAACTCTCTGCTCATGATGGCCACCTACAATATAAAGGAATACGGCCTCAGTTGAACAGATCATGTGATACAGACCTTTATATCAAAATAAATGTGCTCGTTGAATGTGTTGGGGGATTTGTAAAACAATCTATTTTTGGAATATTTTGGAATCTCACCATGAAGTCATTAATGTAGTAATTTGGGGTCTTGAATGTGGTTTACTTTTACACTAAACACGGCTTAGGCTAATTGGCTAATCTTGTTAAGTTGAAATGAAGGTACTGTAGGAAAATATTTTTGAGACTCATACCATAGACTGTAAATATTAATGAACGTAGTCACGCCTATCTTTGCCATTAAAACTAATGTTGCATCACTTTCACGGTCTGTGGGCAGTTTCAAAATGGCCACGAGGGCTGGATAATGTGAAAAAATGCATCTGCGCATGCGTCAGCTGCACGAGCCCCATTCATTAAACGAGTGCCTTAAAAATTTCAGTGTCTAATCTAGACTGGTCCAAATATTCACTCCCCTCAGCATTGACACACATGTGGAACGTTGCTTTGGGTCAGGAGCCGACTTTTGGACCATCCTGTAAAGACGTTTTCAAGAGGAAAGAAGATGCTATATGTTAGCATTGAATAATTCTTATTCTGGGTCGAGCCCCACTGGCCCGGGGTGGTATTGCAGTATGTCAGCGCACATCATTTTTGAGCCGGGGACCGCCCCCACTGACTCATACACACACTACACACCTCAAACTTAACAAGATTAACCCTTGTATTATGTTAAGGGTCAATTTGACCCATTTCAGTTTTTGTGTGGATCAAAGTTTTTCTTTCTTTTTCTTGCTGAAATTTGGTGACTTTTCCTCATCTAGGTTCATGAACTGGTGTGTAAAATCTGGACACTTTGATGTGTAGTGGAATGTATGTGTAGAGTTTGTATACAAAGATGATGTTGCGGGTCATTTTGACCCAGACGCTTTAATGTGGGTAAATAGCTGTTCAGATCCAAAATAAACATGTCTCTTTGACATTGTATTTTTATTGCCTCTGAGACCCAGAGCCAGGTGTGTGAAGAGAGGGAACTTTCTCACACTTGTCCTTGTCACTGTTCTCATTTCATCTCTTTTGCCTAACGTACATCGGACTGGCAACTGATTATGTCCGTCGCCTTTGAGTTGCTGCCCCGCACACATCGACAATCTGCCGAAAACGGGCAACTCCTCGTAGCAGGCCAGTCTGGGGAATAACATCGACAGCAACTGGCCTCAACTACAGTGTGTTTTCTGACATAAACTGTAGAGGTTGTGCAATACACGCAATACACACATGTTGTTGGAGCACATCGGTGATATCTCCGGATCTGAGGACAACTAGTTGCCGAAAAGTAGAACACGGCCAACTGACTGAATCCGGAGATCGACTGTTCATCTCCAGTTGTAAGAGCGCTCACATCGACCGATTTAAGCAACTGATCATCTCCATCATCTACTCTAAGTTGCCAAAAGCCGCCTTGCAACTAGCTCCAGTTACTCTGTCCATGTGCGCTAGGCTTTAGACAAACTCACCAAAAATGAGCTCCAGAAGGATGACATCTGAGGAGGCTTTATCACAGATTTTTAACTGGGATAATGATGTAGAGGAAGATATTTCAGAAACAGAGGATTCTTCAGAGACAGAGGACAATGTTATTGCTGATCCAGATTGTCAATTATCCTACGATTAGGAGGATTCAGAGGACGAATCTTTGGTCAAGGAAAGAGGAAGGGAGGAAGGAAGGAAGGAAAGAAGGGAGAAAGGAAGGAAGGAAGGAAGAGAAAAGAAGGGAATAGAGGATGATGAACAGAGAGAAGGAAAACAGGATGAGAAAAAGGAAGGAGAAAGCATGGCAGGAGGAAAGAAGTTAGAATTGTCATTTTGACCCGAGAGGAGGACAAGAAGATTAGACTAAATATTTCTTAAAAATAGCGTTGGAATAAAAAAAATATTGTGTGTCACTTTTCTAAATATTTATATAACCTAGAATAAAGTTGTTATTGGTTTAACCTGTTTTCTTGACTGTTTTGAGTACGTTTACACAGTACGGGTCAAAATGACCCGCAACATAATCAATGTTATTTTTTTTCAACATAATACAAGGGTTAATAAAGGGGATGAAAATGACTTGACAAAATGTAGTTCTTTTGCGTTGTTGTCTCTAACATTTACGTGGTGTTTCCCACAGAACCTGTGCATTGAGAACGCCTGCATCGCTGCTCACGACAAAGTGGGACGCTTCGGCTCCATGTTCACTGTGAGCAAACTGCTGACGCCCCCTACAGGCACCGTCATGGATCTGCTGAAGGCTGACAACCGCTTCAGGTAAGATCCCCCGTCACCCCCTACAGGCGTGTCATGGACCTTACAGTCCTTCAACACGAGAGCAGCTCTATGGTGTGTCATATGTGATGTCATATTACACTAGTATCTGCTCACAAAGCTGCGCTAGAATCAATTAATTGGTACTTTCTTTTCAGCGATCACATTAGCAGGACGAGTTTACATTTATCTCGGTAGACTGTGAACTCAGGGTCAAGGCGTTTGTTCACTGCGGCCCCCATTGTCAGTCCTGGGTTAGTCCTAGTTTAGCTGTTGTTGTGTGTCTTCTTCTTGCTCTGAGCGGCTTCTGTCCTCATGACCAATGTGTTTCTTTTTGATTAGTTACTTGCCACCAAGCCCCGGCGATCCAAGATGGCGCCGTATTCAACTGAATTCTTGTGCTCAGCTGTGCTTTGTGCCGGCACAGGTGCCGAAGAGATTAGCGGAAGTTGCCTGGAACTCGCAAAGATCCATGGGAAACTCTCCTGTATTTGGGCATCGTCTGGTCCTCCCGGTTCTGCGCAGTGGATGAACTCCCATGATGCGTTGCGCCAAACACGCGTGTGTGGGTCTCACACCGGGTCTCACGCACGTGCACAGAGGGGCTCGGCTGCGCTCTGACCAATCAGAGCTGCTGATTAGAGCGGGAGTTAGAGCGAGAGCCAGACGAGCAGAGTTTGTGGCACTAAAGTGTGGATTTAAAGAAAACCGAAGAATTTAAGAAAAGTTCAGGATGACAAGGGACACTAAAATCCCCACAAAATCCGACCTTTATGAAAGCTGTAGGTTCTCTGTTAGCTGAGGTCGCGCTTTTTTAATTTACATTGAGTCCTATGGGGAAAATTTCAGGGTAGCCCACGTGAATTTTGTCTGGTTTAGTCTGCAGTACCGCGAGAATCTCCCGAGCACATGGGTTCTTCAGCTACAAGCTAGTAATACCCTATCCAGTTATTATAATAGATCCATGCTTGCCACACGTTAATCAGTTGAGCTATGATCATCTCCTGCATTTCGCCACATGCCACCACCTCTGCTGCACCGCAAAAAAACACATCTGCCGTGCCAAACAAATGTGTATGTGTATATGAGTATCTGCACCACTTGCATCACTGACTTTGCTGTCACTTAAAATCTCCTTCCCAAGCTGGTCCTCGTTCTGTAGCCTGAGTCCAGGTCTATGTCTGTGGGAGCATCAATGTGGACCAGAGATTTCTCACCTTTTCCCACTGGGTTTTTCCTTGCCAATGCAGGAGGGTCTAACATAAGAACAGTGGTGATGATCCAGAACGCTCTACATTCAACAACATTTATGGACATTGATCATCTGCCCTTATGGACCAATACCAATGTGTTTTCTAACATTCTTGTGTTTGAACAGTTTGATTCTCTGATCTGTGTTGGCAAATTCAATGGTTGTGTAAAGTCCTCCGAGATATCCACTGTTGTGATGTAGGGCTATAAGAATAGATTGAATTGATATGCAGGAACCATCCAAGCTTCTTTGAGTTTAGCTGTTCAGTCTACTCTTTATTTTGACAGGGGTAATGTAATCGGATATAATTTACGACACCTTTCTTGGCCTTTTCTACACTAAAGCCAGGCTGAAAGCAAATCCATCTGTACTCATGGCCCATGTCCATAAGCGCCAAGATGCCTCTGTCTTCATAAAATGTGATTGTGGTTAAAGCACTTGGAGGGCTGTAAAGCAGTCCAAAGAAGGACTAAAGCAGACCTAAAGAAGGACTAAAGCAGGTCTAAAGAAGGACTACAGCAGGTCAAAGCAGATCTAAAAAAGGACTAAAGCGGGTCTAAAGTGAAATTAGTAATTTCTTACCTTAAATCAAGTATGGGTATGTGTTTTTGTCTACATTTAAAAAGAAAACTAATTACATAATCTTCCGCAGAAAGTGCAGTTTAATATTGGGATTCAAATCAATGCAATTCAGTTTATTGTTGCACAGCCCTAAATCACAACAGTAGTTACAGTTCAAACACAGGAAATGATAAATGATAGAAATACATTGAGCGTTTGGTCCACAAAGGGCAGATGTCCAATGTCCACAACTGTGAATAAACGTCCATAAATGTAGTTGAATGTGGAGTTTTCTGGATCATCACCACTGTCCTGAATCCTTGGAGTAGTGGGTCTCAAATATGCGGCCTGCAAAAAGGTATTTTGTGGCCCCCTAGTGGACATCAAATGTTAATGTCAGTGCATCCCCCACTGAGAGTCTCTTCAAATATGGCATGTTGTACATAATTTTTAAGAAAACAACCACAGCATTTATTTGACCATAAACATTGTACCCTGAATGAAATAAACAAGTAAACATGATTAAACCCAGTCTACAATCCAAAGCCTCATTGCTTTTCATCCAAATTTCAAAGCCAACCAGACACATTTTGTCCATTGAAAATTATATCAAACTCATAATCAATAAAACATATTATTTGGTCCAAATTCCTCCATGATTATAAAAAGTCACAGATACAAACCATGGATTATAAACCATTCTACAAACGCTTGATTCTTGATTTTCCTTTTTTGTCTCTGTTCTCTGAGCCCAAACGTTTACTTTCTCCACTGTTAATGTTAAAGAATGAGAAAATTCACAGTTTGAAATGTAGCGGTTAATTACATTTATCCAAGAGCGTGTTCAAAGTAGAAAAGCATGTCTTATAGATAGATACGTAGATACTTTTTTGATCCCCGTTGGAGAAATTCAGGTGTCTAGTAGCAGTAAAAAAAATAAAATATAATTAAGACAAAAAGATCATTCTAAAAAACTAACAATAGTAATAATCAGCTCAGTCCTTCAGGTCACAGCAGCAGAGGTGGTGCAGGACGGGTCAGAGTAGCACAGATGGAGTAGCCTCTGGGTGGAGCAGGACGGGTCACTGCAGCAGAGGTGGAGTAGCCTCTGGGTGGAGCAGGATGGGTCACTGCAGCAGAGGTGGAGTAGCCTCTGGGTGGAGCAGGACAGGTCAAATGCTGGAATAGCCGCTTGGTTCGGATCATTTTCTCTGCTCGAGTCCAAAGTAAATTGCTATTGCTTCTATCTCAGATCTTTGAATGTGCAGAGATCTATTTGCTCCAATTTTCATATACTTAGCACAAACACGTTCTTAATGCAGCCCAGCTTCACCCAGACTCGACCTCATGCAGCCCCCAGATAAACTGATCTTGAGACCTTGGTCTAGAGTGAACAGGAGAGGGGAGCTGAAACAGGCCTGAGGTAATAATCCTCAGGTCCTACAGTGTTTGGTTCACTCTTACTAGATGGGTCAGCCAGATAGAAATGAGTGATGCCGTCTGATGATATATATATTTAATGAGCATTTGTGATTCCGAGTAAGATGTTAGATGTGTGGTAGCAGAGAGTATAACTGAGCTGAAGCCAATAAACAGCAGGCTGGCCTATGCCTTGGGGTGTTCCAGATGTGATGTCATAAACTGCTCTAGTTACAGCATCATCACTGCCGCAAAGTGTTGATAGTATACTGTATGTATTCTTAATCCCAGTCTCAGTACTATGTATTCAGGAACAGAGCAGGCTGTAGGTGCGAGAATCTAACTCTGTAACTGTCAGCTCAGGCAGGTAGCAGTGAGGAGGACCCTAACCCGGCGTGCACCTCCGTACCGCTCATATATGGCCTTGGTGTCCCGTCTGAAGCTGTCATCAGTCTGTGCGGTTTCCTCTAACTTTTTCCATACCACATGATTATTTGTCTGTGGAGTTTCCTCAGCTGTAATGGCTTTGCCTTGGCTGTATTGTGGGCGTAGTAGTGCATAAATCTGTCTCCGGTCTGAGCAGGCCTCCCCTGTGCTCTCTGTTTGCACATATGTGAAACATGTGTGTCGCTCGCCAACCTTCACTGTTGTGGAGAGGTGCTGAAGCCTTTCATTGTCGCCAAGAATATTAAAGAACATGTGTGAAAGAACATTTATTATGCATTATTTATGTTCATGTTGTTCCTTAAGCACAATCTTAGGTATATGAGATTATCCGGGACACGACAGACATTGGGAATACGCTCAATTCAAAGAAGAAGCTGGTTTTTAATTAATTGATTGGAGCATAAAATATATTTAAAGTATTTATTCCAAGGATAGCATAGGTCCAGGTATTGACCAAACATTGATCCCGGCCATAGAACTTTGATCGGATCATACTTATCCTTAATATTGTTCTCTTTTGTTGCATTTGAACATGATATTACTCTTGCTATTGAAAGTAATCTGTCTTTCAAACACTATTTACCACGCAACGGTCTGTCTGGAGAATGTGTTGTATCACAGGGGGCCAACCAATTTGTTTTGAGGACCACATTTGGCACCCAGACCATAGTTATTTCTCTACTTGAGTCTTTCTCTTGCCCTTCTTCAGTTGTTTTTTAGATCTACTTTAGACCTGCTTGATGCTTTAGGTCTGCTTTGGTCCTGCTTTAACACCTGTGTGCCGTACCGTTGTTGCATTTTGGAAGTTTGTTTATTAAAAATCAGGCGTATAACTTTAGTAAAATGAGCACCAGTAGTTTGTTCTTGGTGCTATCATGTCAGCAGCACCTGGTTAAGCTGGTAGAATGTCCTGGGTCCTGGCATACTCCTGAGATAGCTCTTGTTATGGTCTTCCTCCTCCTGCTCTGACCAGGTTGTGTCCCCAGCGCCACTGTGCTGAAGTTAATCGTGTGCATAGTCCTGCTTTGTTCCTGCTTTAGACCATGAAATAGCCTCTAACCTCACACACTACAGTGTAAATGTTATGAGATGAATAACTCTGTGTCTAAACATATTTGGATGAAATAAACACCGCTCTTTTGTTCCATAACGTTAGAATTGTATCCCGTTATTATGGCCTCCACGCCGTCCAAGACAAGCGCTCCTGTGTGGAAACATCGACTGCTTTACTTGCCAAGTGGTCGGGAATTTAGATGCTGTCCGCTACACTTTTATGGACAAATCCCTTCAGTATTATTTTTGACAGAGACATTAAATAAAAACATGAATTACAGTGAAATGGATCTACTGTGAAAAGATTAGGAACAGCCTGGGAAAGACATCAGCCAAAAACGTCTAAAGCAGGGAGGCCAAACCAGGACTATATTTGGATTGTGTAAAACAGGACCAAATAGATGATAGAACCTTTAAAAGAGAAGCGTGTATAAAGGACAGTAGTGAGAACACACACAGATGAGATGACATGTACAGACTCAGCAGTTCTCATTGTAGAGTCTGACAGCAGCAGGGAGGAAACACCTGCAGAACCGCTCCTTCAGTCTGTCGCTGAAGCTGCTCTTCAGATTAGAGAGTGTCCTGCAGGGAGCGACAGTCATGGTCCAGCATAGATGTTAGTTTTTCCAGTTTCTTCCTGTCCCTCACCTGCTGCACTGTGTCCAGGGGACAGCCCAGGACCGAGATGGACTTCCTGCTTCCTTCTGCCCCAAACAGCAAAACAGGGAGATGGCTGATGCCACCAGAGAGTTATAGAAGGTCTTCAGGAGTGGCCCTTACACTCCAAAAGACATGAGATTCCTCAGCAGGTAGAAGGCAAGTCCTTCTTGAAAAGGGCGTCTGTATGAATATCTTTATTAGTTCCACAGTGAGGAAATTAAAGAATTATTATGAAGTATTGTGAATCCAGTCCAGTTTGTGGTTCAGACGAACACCCAGGTATGTGTAGTCGACTCTCTCATTGTCCCTTCGCTGGATGTTCATTGCAGCTGAAGCAGCAGAGTGACGTCTGTGGAAATCCACCTCCATCCTCTTGGTCTTACCCGCATTGATGAGGAGGTGGTTCCCCTGCCACCAGTCCACATACTGTAGTCCTGTGTTGGTCCTTTGTACTCTGCGTTCACCTCTGCGAAGCCTTTTCATGAGGCCACTCTAAGGGTCGAATTTGATAGCCTTGTTGGTAAAGGAATGTCTCCAAATTTAAATGTCTCCAAATGTTGCTCAGGGTGGACTCTTGGTTTTAACAAGGGGACACAGGGATTTTGTAGACACCAAATGGAAGGGGCGGTGGGAAACAGGACCCTATAAACAGTAATCTTTGGTGCAGAGCAAAACACTAATCTACTTTCCTAGCGTTGATAGTAGCGAGAACTCTCCCTGTCCTTTACGCACAGCATTTACACCACAGGCCCAACGAGGTAGACAGAGCCCGCAGCAGTGGTGTGCCCATGCTTATCAGTATGCTACAAGCAATTCATGATAAATGCAGTAGCATCAAATTATGAGAATTCTAATTCATTCCCCGTGTTAAAAATGAGGTCGATCTCGATTCACTGGTTACTGGAACAATAGTTCTTGATTGGAATAAGTGTGATCACCCCTGGTCCATATTCTGTTTTCGCTCTGAAGTCATGAATAGAGATGTTATCTACTTGGCCAATAACCACGAAATATAATCCATCAGACATGTTAGGCACAATAGGACACTCTGAGGTCAGCCGATAACCAATCAAAAACCAAATTCCCAAATGCTGATATTTGTACACAAACTTGCAAAAACATATTTTGTGGTCCGTTTTTGGGGCATCCATTGATAATGAGCCAAGACTTGATAAATGAGGCCCTGATTGTCCCCTTGTGCCTGTGTTTGTGCTGCAGTGTCCTGGTGGGGGCGCTGCAAACTGCAGGGATGACTGAGCTCCTCAACCAGCAGGAGCTGCTGACATTCTTTGCTCCGACCAACGAAGCTTTCAACTCCATCCCCACTGCAGAGAGGAGCCGCCTCATGAGTGAGTGACCATAGGACCATGTACAAACGTCGTTTACTGTAATGTCCTGAAATTATGAACTGCAAGACTGAAATATGAACCAATGGACCAAGATAATATTAATGTCCCTGTGCTGTTCATTTTAGATCCTGGAAGGCGAGTCAACATTTCTCTTTCAAAAGACTTTTTTTAACTAGAGGAAAATCACTTTGTTTTATTTAAAATAATCCCATACTGCGGCTCACCTGTGGGGGCTCTACCTCCCGGTAAGATCATGGGTCAGATGTGGCCCTTCGCTAAAACATTGATAGTAGTAAGTAGTAAGTAATCTTTATTTATATACCGCCTTTCACAGACCAGAGTCACAAAGCGGTTTACAATTACTCTACACAGAGATGGGAGCTGGGTCACCAGTACAGGAGGCGCATGCCAGACCTATTGTACATGTTTTTAAACCTACGCAGACACGGGGAGAACATGCAAACTCCCCTCAGAAAGGCCCTGGTTCTCAGCCCGGCACTAGTGTCATGTCCTCTTTGATGGTCTAGTAAAGTAAACTTTATACACAATCCCCATTGGCTTGCATTGAGGGTTGCGATTTCCATTGCCCTTTGTAGATTTTAGTTCTGTTTGTTTGCTCGCCTCTAGATCGGACCTCTCCTGTCCTTCACCTCTTCTCAGTTACCTCCAAAACAGATCTTTGCTTTTTGTGATATGTCATATTTGCATATTTTGCATACTCTGAACTTACAGTGAATGATTCTATTTAAAGCAACAAAGCAAAATAAAAGTCTGACCCACAGGGAACAGTGCGGAGCTGTCCAAGCTGCTCAAGTTCCACATGGGAGAAGGTCTGCTGGTCAGCGGAGGGGTCAGCTCTCACACCAGGGTCCAACCACTGCAAGGGGACAGGCTGGAGCTGGGCGTGGTGAGTAAACCAGAGCTTGACTGGGACCAGTTTGGGGACTCAATGAAATGTGCGATATTAAGATTAGGAGATCCTCATTTGTCCAACAGTGGAGGGATTTAAGTTATTGCTCCAAGGCCGAACGTTGTCATTTAAGCCCCGAACTATGGTTGAGGGGAGCAGGGGAGATCTGTCCCTCCAGGGCCAAAGAAATGCACTTTCCTCGGGCTGTGTGAGGTGTGTCAGGAGGAAGAAGAATCTGTGGAGCATGTGGTTATGAGATGTAGGGGTCACAACATCTGTAGGGAAGTCATGAAGGAGAGGTTAAAGGAGCTGGGAATGAGACAACTCAATTTAAAGAGCATTCTGGAGAAAGGCAGTAGGGCACTAGTAGGGGCGTTGTTTTTTTTTTTTTTTAAGGAAACTGGAGTATATGAAAGGATATAGTTTGTGTTTTAAGTTTTTTTTTTTATTATCCCCTTTCCTTGTTGGGAACACAGACTAAAAGTCTATGGTTTGGGTTTTAGATTGTGAGCCTATTGTCTGACCCACTCAATGCTCCACAAGTTGGCTGCCAACCGCCATAAAACCCAAAGAAGAGGAAGAAGAAGATGCACTTCCCTCAGTTCCTTTTCTTTGAGCCTCACTGTCAACTCTGATGTTACCTCAATAAGCACTTCAGATTGTTCCTCAAAGAGTCAAGGCTTTATTCTGTCACAAAAACATACAAGGCACTTATTCCCTCAGTTAATCCGGTCGCCCTGCTCATACATCATTTTCAAATCAGTAACCTTGTAATGAGATTGAGAGAAATCAAGGTGTGTGTATATTTTTGAATGCATTTTTTTTCTAATGTTAATTGTGTATTTTGTGCTTTCAGCGTAACTACACCGTGTATGTGAACCGAGTGCCAGTGCAGGACGCAGATCTGATGGCCACGAACGGAGTGGTGCACGCTGTCCACCGCATCATCAAACCACTGCGTAATATAGAGTTCACTACTGCTACTGCTGCTGTGACTGATGCTGCTGCTACTGCTGCTGCTGCTGTGACTGATGCTGCTGCTACTGCTGCTGCTGCTGTGACTGATGCTGCTGCTACTGCTGCTGCTGCTGTGACTGATGCTACTGCTGCTGCTGCTGTGACTGATGCTGCTGCTACTGCTGCTGCTGCTGTGACTGATGCTACTGCTGCTGCTGCTGTGACTGATGCTGCTGCTACTGCTGCTGCTGCTGTGACTGATGCTGCTGCTACTGCTACTGCTGCTGTGACTGATGCTGCTGCTGCTGCTGCTGTGACTGATGCTGCTGCTACTGCTGCTGCTGCTGTGACTGATGCTGCTGCTACTGCTGTAACTGATGCTGCTGCTACTGCTGTGACTGATGTGACTGATGCTGCTGCTACTGCTGCTACTACTGCTGTGACTGATGCTACTGCTGCTGCTGCTACTGCTGCTACTTCTGCTGTAACTGATGCTGCTGCTACTGCTGCTACTGCTGCTGCTGCTGTGACTGATGCTACTGCTACTGCTGCTGTAACTGATGCTGCTGCTACTGCTGCTACTTCTGCTGTAACTGATGCTGCTGCTACTGCTGCTACTGCTGCTGCTGCTGTGACTGATGCTACTGCTACTGCTGCTGTAACTGATGCTGCTGCTACTGCTGCTACTTCTGCTGTGACTGATGCTGCTGCTACTGCTGCTGCTGCTGTGACTGATGCTACTGCTACTGCTACTGCTGCTGTAACTGATGCTGCTGCTACTGCTGCTGCTGCTGTGACTGATGCTGCTGCTACTGCTGCTGCTGCTGTGACTGATGCTGCTGCTACTGCTGCTGCTGCTGTGACTGATGCTACTGCTGCTGCTGCTGTGACTGATGCTACTGCTACTGCTGCTGCTGCTGTGACTGATGCTGCTGCTGTGACTGATGCTGTGACTGATGCTGCTGCTACTGCTGCTACTACTGCTGTGACTGATGCTGCTGCTACTGCTGCTGCTGCTGTGACTGATGCTACTGCTGCTACTGCTGCTGTAACTGATGCTGCTGCTACTGCTGCTACTTCTGCTGTGACTGATGCTACTGCTGCTGTGACTGATGCTGCTGCTGCTACTGCTGCTACTGCTGCTGTGACTGATGCTGCTGCTACTGCTACTACTGCTGCTGTGACTGATGCTGCTGCTGCTGCTGCTACTTCTACTGCTGCTGTGACTGATGCTGCTGCTGCTACTGCTACTACTGCTGCTGTGACTGATGCTACTGCTGCTACTGCTCTGACTGATGCTGCTGCTACTGCTACTACAGCTGCTGTGACTGATGCTACTGCTACTACTGCTGCTGCTACTGCTGCTGCTACTGCTGCTGCTACTGCTGCTGTGACTGATGCTGCTGCTACTGCTACTACTGCTGCTACTGCTGCTGCTACTGCTGCTGCTACTGCTACTACTGCTGCTGTGACTGATGCTGCTGCTACTGCTGTTTCTCCACTACTACTACTTTGCTGTTACTACTGCGGCTATTGTCACTGCCACAACTGTTTTTCCTGATTTCTTTTTGCTCTAATGAAACCCCCATTGTCAGAAAAAATACTTTTAACGGTACTGCTGCTTCTACAACTACTACTAACCATTATACAAGAATTATTGCCATAGCAGGTGACATGAAACATTCAGTTTTATGTTACAAATGCAAAAAGAAAATGTGTGTGGAATATGTACAGTAAATAAATAGATATATAAATACTGTTTATTCATGATGTGTTGTTTATGTTTTGATTGTGTGTAACTTTGTGTGCAGCTCCTAAAGTGGACAGAGAACAGTCGGACGGTCCAGCAGCAGCTCTCAGATCCCTGTCCACCGTCAGGGTAACACACTCTCTCCCCTCAAAACAATTCCATGCTTCAGCTCTATTTCAATTCATTGTCACACTTTTTATGACAAATAACCATCACCAAGTTCTGGGGAATTGGCTAAAAAATGTGACTAAAAATTTGATAGTATTGTGATCTTTGGGCCACAATTCAACATTACTGCGATTCTTAACATATTGCGATACATCAAGTATAACTGTGGTACATTGCGATTCATGACCCTAATATCATTCAAACGCATTGCAAAAAAGTAAGGAAAAAAAGACTGCTAACCCTAACTACAATGTCACATTTATTATGGTCTGCACATTAACTGAAGGGCAAAAATATTGTACTTTCTGATGAATAAATGCATGAAAACAATGCACCTCAACAAGCGCCACTCTGTAGATTCAGAGAAAACACAAAAGTGAAAAACAGGCAAACAATTATTTAATTTTCTCTACTGTATTGATTTAATTGGGTGTGCAAAATATCGCGATACTGAACAGTCGATTTTTTCCCCCATCCCTATCAAGTACCTGAAGTGTATCATATATAGTAAATAATTGTTTAGTAAACACTTCTCCCAACAATAACTGTCTTATTAAAGTAAAATGTTGTGGAATGCATGCCATGATTTCATCTTGATAAAAAACATGTTATCTGTTGCATACTTGTACAAAAGAAAGCCTTGCGAGTCACAATTTGACTCTTTGAGCGAGGAGCTGCATGGTTCAGTGAGGGACAGGTGGTTTTTAGTCAGGCTGATCTAAAGAAGTGACAGAAGAAACTAGTGAAATAACTAGTGATAAAAGCTTTGAGAGAAACTCCATACATGGATTTTATTACATAAACTACATATTACATAGTTATTTTGTGGTTTGAAAGTTAGGTACCCCAGCTTTAACAGAGAAAGATACCTCGTCTCTCAGGCCTTTGTATAAAATGTATATATGGGATTAATCAGGAGCAGTTTAAACTCCAAGTGCTCTGTTTTAAGTGCATTTTAATTATTGTGATAACATATTAGAAATAGAAATATCATATTAGAAAAAAAAAAAGTCTGTTGATTATGTTCTAGTTGTGTTTACCTTTCCATCATCACACTACAGAGCAGACATGTACTTTAATACTTTCAACCATGAATCTTTTCACACTATTTTACACTATTATCAAAGTGAAATGTCATGAATGCCACTAACTGCAGTGTGTGTGTTCCTTTTAGCTCAACTCCCGGAGCCTCAGTAAAGGTAAGCTCCCTCAAACTGACAAAATTCAGTGGTTCGCAAAGGCACTTATAAAACAAAATTTTAAACATTTGGTGTAGTTCATGAACACAAACAAGGGCTGGTCGATTATTATTATGTTTGTGTCTTGATATGGTTAAAGAAAAGATTTTTTTGGGGTTAGACCACTTCAGAATTTCAGACAGGGTCTTGCAAATGTATTCATACTACATTTATCTGAGTGCATGGCATTGCCTTTGAAAACTTTTCAAAGCATTAATAAGTCATAATGTTCACATCTTGCCCTAACAATTAAAAAGAGGCCTCCTAAGTGTACTACTGACTGATTAAACACATGGCCTACTACATATCCAGCAAGAGTCCAAGCATTTCCCCAGAGAGGTCAGGAATTACGTGTGGAGAAGTTTAACAATCATTTCCCCCGCTTTGAAGATCTCACAGAGTATGTTCGATTTATAATTCAGAAAGTATGACACCACTGCAAACTTACCAAGACACGGCTGTCCACCTAAACTCACAGCTCATACAAGAACAACATAGCTCACAGATCAAAATTACCCTCAGTGCGACAACCCCGCAATAGTGTTATATACGGTATGAGCAGTTGTACAACACAAGTACTGTTATGAATTATGGCCTGTTTATTGTTATTCTTGGTGAAATAAAAATGGTTTAATTACATGGCAATATACAAGCAAATATGCAATGTTGATCTAAAATACCGCTTACAAAAGTGTATATCAAATAATGTAAATATTGTGGAGTTTTCTATAATATCTTCATTGTGTGTTTGGCTTCTTGCAGAGGAGTTGTTCAAAAGGGTGATCCAAAGCCGTTCCAGTCAGAAGATGCCACGCAGCCAGTAACCAACCTAAAGTCTAACCACCAAACTAAGAATATTAATAAAGCCACAACAGTGAAGCCAAAGAGCAGCTTCAGACTCCGGCAGGTCTGCAGTCCTGCTCAAGACCTACTCCAGTCCTGCTTTAGTCCAGCTTTAGTTCAAAATGAAGTGCATATAACAGTTTTTTGTGTTTTGTGTGAATTTACCCAAACAGTGTTGTGTTTCTGTATAAAATGGTTTTAATTACGTGAGCGTGCGTTTTGTTACGTCGAGTGAGTGAATCCTGCAGCATGTGGCAGGATAATGTGACCGTTTTGTAAAAAAATTATAAAGAGATTGGAAAAAAACTTTATTTGTGTTTGTTATTACTGTATGCACGCGGGTGTGTATGAAGTTCAATTCAATACATTTTCTTTTTGTATAGTCCTAAATCATAACAGTAGTCATCTTGGAGGACTTTGCAAAGATGTCGTTTCGCCAACACAGATCAGAGAATCAAACACATACAACCATTGATCCATAAAGAGCGGATGATCCATATGTATTAATAAATGCCCATAAACATTCTCAAATATCCTGGATCATCACTGACCTCAGACCCTCCTGCATCTGCCCACATTGAGGGAGGGCTCATCATCCGCTCCCATGGATGGACGGGCTGTATTGGACACACAGGTTGTAGAACAAGGACAGGTGCGATGCAGGACTGAGGCAGCTCCCAGACAGGGAGGGGGTGCAGCTCACGAGTCTGGGCCAGGGAAAACAATCCACAGATTGTGGAGACCGGGTTCAGGATTCCTATCAACACGCCATGAAACAGACAATGGGACAGCGGGTGAATAGCAATGAACATGCAACAGCTGAGGTCATAATGGTGACAGAATAAAGTTGGAAGACACGTTACTACGCTTCTCCGTCAGTGTTTTTAGACTTAAGGTTGAATTTCTAAGTCTTACTTGAGTCTTACCTCCAGTAACTAACCAAATGCTGAATTAAAGAGGACTGTTTTAAGCCAGGCCATGAATGTGGAGATGGGAGCTGATTACTGAAACCAATATTCCCACAAGGCAGATCCATAGCTGTCAAAAGTTCCATTACTCAACATATTGCTATATATTAATTTTCATTTTATGTTACGTTTGTCATTTCTGCAACAAATGTTTCCCTCCCATCTGAAGCATAGACTGTAAAAAATAAAATCTGAAGCGACCTTCTGCCGACAGGTGGCGACAGCGCCCCTCTCAGCCGCTCCTTCCTGGATGCTAACCACATTAGCATTAGCATCATCAGGCAGAGAAGTTCCACGTTTCGGATGTTTTCTGGTGTTTTCTTGTACTTGTGCAACTGCAGCTCTTGTCTGTCGGATGAACGTGTGTCTTGTGTGACCCTGCTCTTAAACTGAGGCTACACGTACAGGTGAGGGGACAGGACGTGTGAATAAACGCTGCTGTTAGCATTTAGCAACATTAGCTTCGATGTAAACACAGAACAACGGGGACAGTGAACACGGCATGAAGAAAAGTGACGTGACTGTGGCTTTTGGACACTCTGTTATTTTTTGATCTTTGATTGAACTCCTGGACCACGTTGTGCAGACTTATTTGAACACATAGTTTTTACACGTACAGACTGGTGGTCCTGATGGAAGGCTGCGTAACATGCGGCGGATGTCTTACGTTGGAAAAAATGATGGAGGGGAAAATATATATATGAATTATATATAACATGCATTATATTGGAGACCGTTTTCTACTACTTGTCACATTTATGCTGCTAAAATCTGGAACAGTCAGAGACAGGTTTCTCTGACAGTGTTCTGCTCCAGGTGAAACAGTTTTGTTTATTTGTGCATACAACATGGTTTTCATATATTTTTCATCACTGTGGTGGGTCGATTTGACCCGAGGGTTAAGCAGAGGTACACATCTGTTTCACTGTACCTACTGTACCTACTGTGAAGCATGGGGGTGGAAACGTCATGCATTAGGGCTGTTTTTGAGCTCAAAACAATGCAACACAGCACTGCACTAAGTTGCTGCCAACTTGTTTTTCAATGTACCCTTTATCTAGATATGTATTGTCTCGTGTCATGCATATGGAGGTACGCAGGCTTTGAGAGATCTGAGTGTCCAATAACACCCAGGACTGGTGAGAAATGTTCATCAGCTGTGATGTCCTTCAGACACAACACTATTATAGATGTTTCATGAGACTTCTACATGTAGCCACATTTCTTCTTATTATGTATTACAGCTGGCAGTCTGGCAGCATTGCTCATCTGTTCTATCGATTTCTTGTCATATGGATCAAACTGACAGAATACAATTCACATTCATTCTCACACAGGTTTGAAAAGGGTTTGGAAGAAGCAGACTTTTTTCACATCCTCTCTCACTATTCAACACAAAATAAACAAAAAACAATGCAATGAATCAACACACAGAACAGTACGTACAGTGATATACCATACCGTAGTATAATTTATGAAACACCCATAAAAACACACACATAAAGAGATTTCAATGAACAATTCCGATGATTAAATTTAACTTTTATATTGTTTCAGTTTATTGTTTGCTGAAGCCGTCATGTCGCGGTACAGACCTCCTTTAGCAGACACGGACCAGAGGCCATTTTCCCGTAGCATGGGCCCAGGACCAGAGAGAGGAGGCAGGATGTTCAGACCTCCTCTAGGATCCAGGCCGCCCTGGTCAGACCGGTGAGAATGCTATATGTTGTATGTAGACTCACCTGATTATTTAGAGCTCCAGTTAAATCTCAAAAGAAATGATTAAAAAAGACATTTAATGAATCTCAAATTAATCCAAGAAAACAGTACAGTACAGCGACGGAAACTGCATGCTGCTTAATATTCAAATTACTCTTTTTAGTGCTGTACTGATTGTAAAATGAACAATCCCACAGACCACCCCACCATAGGCCTCCGCACCACAGGCCATCCCATCAGAGGCCTCCCCCCGAGAGGCCTCCCCACCTCAGACCTCCCCACCTCAGACCTCCCCCTGCACACAACTGGCCGTCTGAGTCTAACTGGTCATCGGAGTCCGGCTGGCCTCAGCATCCCCCTGGTCCTCCTGACTGGTCCAGGCCACCGCCCCCTATGCCTCCCGTGTCAGCAGCAGATGGCGCGCTGGGTGTGCTCAGCAGCTATGGTCTGGATGCTGGGGATTTGTCTGCTTTAGCTGAGCTGCCAGAGGACATGCTCACACTCAAGTCTCTGCCCATGCTCCTTAAGCAGATCAAGGGTCTCAAGAAGGAGCCCCGTGCCCAGCCATACTTGCCCCCAGCAGGTAAGAGCCACTCCTCACATTGGAACACTTCTTACATTGAATTAAATAACTATATAGAGAGGTCATTTCACATCAGCAGCACTGGGGAGCACTGCTATGTAGAGGCAGCAGTGAAAACTAGATGAACTCTGGACCAGTTTATCTCTCTGCTCATTTTAACGCCTCAGGAGTGATCTGTGATAATGTCATATATCATTGTGGAGCCTGGAACCTCTAGAACAGGGGTGCTCAAGTCCATCTACACACAATAACATACTGTACATTTACAACATGAGATACACGACTCATCAACATACTGTACATTTTGTGGCAGATGTATGTGTACTTTCATAAGTACATTAACATTTTGTTCCTGCTGAAGATAATGTGAATAAAGACAACACAGTCATTACTTGATCATGAATCCCGGCTCAATGGTTACTGTAAAAGTAGATCTTTGTTGATAAAGTTTGGGCACCCCGCTCGAGTCTGCTTCTTGTTGGTAAGTGACCAGTGACCTCCATTTAGACTGTTGATCTAAATGAAAAAAATAAAAGACTTTTTTTTATTGACTTCCACTATTAGGTTTGATCTCTTTCAACTGTGAAAGTTGAAAGAGATCAAACCTCTCAAATGAGATACTGCATCATAAGGGGTTTCCCCTAAATAAATTTTAAAAAAATAAAACAAAATTTAAAAAAAGTGCTGCTGATTGGTTGAAGGTTTAGCAGTGATCCTTCTGATTAAGTCCTTTTTAGAATTTCATCTTTTATCTTAAACTGATTTTATTTGTATTTTTTATTTTATTTAGTCAATTAAAATGCTCAGTCTGTCTTTATGATTCCCAATCTGGGGGGAGTCAAAAAGGGTAAATGGGTTTGGAATCACTTAAACGTGTGATTGAGAACTCTCCACAGGTGAGACATGGACGTATTCGGGGACACCGCTCAAGATGCATTTTTCACTGTATTTTACATTTTGCACAATATTGGACATTGTTCTGGAGAGGACCATGTGTCTTAACCACGATCCTCTGTGAGCATAAGACCTTGGCAGAAGGAACATGCTCAGACTGGAATACCTCACAAGATTTGGATCTGTCTGTTTTGAACGGATCACAGCTGTTTTTTTTTGTGTGTGGCAAGTATCTTAAATTTTTCCTGGGAACAAAGCATTTTTACGAGTTATTGGCACACTGTTTAGCCATCGTAAACTCGGTCACAGTGGACACACTCAGAGAAGGACTTTTCTGGATGGACATTTGGAACAGGATTCCTGATTAAATTAAATTAATCTCCTGGACCTGACTGTGATTTTTGGCCATTTTAATGCTGCAGGTAAACTCAGCCCGGGATCAGTCTTTAAATTATCTAAATGTTCAACTTCACGTCAAGTGTGGTAAGTACGCTAGACGCAACACGGCATTCACCTGACAGTTCATGTGTTTCTCCCAAAGGCTGCACCACTCTGTCACACTACGACCAATCACAGGTTGTTTATGCAGGTCCCGCCCCTAGGCAAGATATGGAACATTCACTGAGTTTTCATCGGGAGCCAGTTCCGTCAAAGTCCGACTTTCCCGCAGCTCCTGGTGGATCCTCCTTTGTGGTGGAATACGGACACTGCGCGGCTTCTGTGGACGAGTCCCGCAAGTCTCCAGAGCGCTCGCGGCGCCCCTCTCCTGGCTTTACTCACGGCTCAAAGGATTTTAGAAGATCTTCTGAACGAACCCCTGTATCGGGAGCCACTTTGCCAACGGAAACTGAGGCCAGGGACTTCCTGGGGAAGAGGCCTTTAGGGTTCCCCCATTCCTGCTCAATCTGCGATATCACCGTGCTGTCTGACTTGGTAAGTGCAAACGACCGTATCACATCTCGCACGGTAGTTGACAATGAATCAAGAGTTCAACTGCAATATTTAGATGTTATTTAATACCAAACAATTTTGATACAGAGAAAAATATTGTATATCAATAATCTGCAATACCAAATCAATACTAAAAAGGCTGCTGTTATTGTACATCGTGTTTTGATACACTTTATTTTTCAACGGGAAAATGTTCATAAATGTAATTTGTAGAGCTGTCAAACAATTTTTTTTTTCTAGGTGATTAATCTGATAGTAATGGTGAGTTAACTCTTGATTAATCGCATTTTTAGAATTCTATTTCAAATCCACTCCAATTTAAGTTAAATAATATTATCAAATGTAATGACACATTGTCATTCATACAAAATGTACTTAAATCTCTTAGATTTGCTCACAACCTTTTACATTTGGGCATAACCAAAATTAGCTGTTAATGAAAGGGGAAAATTTACGTATCCCAGCTTTAATTTAGCAAGTTTAGTTTAGTTTCAGGAGGAGACAGGACACTTCCGCGGTGTATTTGCGTGCACAGGTTACGCACAGGTTGAAAAGACACGAACACAACATGCAGAGAATAGTCCTGTGGCGTGTTTGGTCTTATAGAACCACATCACGTGCCACAACAACCAGAGCGGCCGCAGCTGCCCCCGGGGTGTGCACGGGAAGGCGGACTTCAGTTCATAGACTGTAGCTCCGCGGTCACGCCTGTATTCTTTTAAAACTTGAATTCCCAGAGACATGCTCTGTTGCCATCTCACACAGGCGTGTGTACGCGGTGTAACTGGTCGGGTCATTCGGACATGCGTTAATGCGTACTTTTTTTTTTTTACGCGTTAATGAAAAATTTAATTAACGTGAGTTACCCAGAATTCTGTAAAGCTGTAATCTCATGCATTTGGTGAATGATGAATACATTCATAGTATCCATAGTGATTGGACAGTGTGACCAATGGGTAAAGACTCAGTCACACACACTTGAGGAAAAAAATAACACAAAACTGACTATAACGGTTTGATAGTGATGTTACGGGCCGCTTATTTGGCTGACTGCTGTTCAGCTTGGACATCAGTTAACAAGTTAGTACGACTTATTCAAAAGTGGTGCATTGCAAAAAATGTTATACTGTTTGAACTTTTGCACCTATTATACTGCATTAATACTTTTTTTTTGTAGCTAGTCCTTCATTAAAAAGTCCTGCCTAAGTGATCATACACATTACTCACAGAGATCTAAAGACTTTGCTAAGCACTTCTGCTCTTTTGATTAGACTCGAGCGCTTTGATCTAGAATTTAGCGGAGAAAACCACAATAGCCAAACGTAAGCTGTATTCGGCTCATGTAAATACAGATGGAAAGCCTCCTCAAAAAGACTCTGGATTATTGAACTTGTAGTGGAATTGTTGCAAAGTAGAAGCACTGAGAGTCGCTTTAACTGTAACTTTCTCACATAAACACACACACACTGATACAGTGATGCTGACGCCTTACATACGCTGATAAAAGAAAGCAGAAAAGGAGAAAAGGCCACTGTTTCCTTTGATCATGAGCAACAGTCTTGGTATGATCATACTTTTTGGCTTGGCATTGGATTGTCACAGCTTGTGGGTGACCAATCATGTGATTTTTGCCGTGAATGGCCGATCAATTGGTGCACTCTCCTCTTTCCATTCCCCAGATTTATTCGTATTCGTATTTATAGCTTATTTCGTTGCTGAATGGCCAAAGGATCAAAAAGTGAGATATTCAAAGCATGAGAAATATTTATATAACCTAACCATGCATTGAATCCTAAACAAAATAAGTAATCATCAACAACATTACAAAACCTCATTGTCTTTCGTCCAATTTAGTTTTGGTTCATTTGGTTGTAAAAGTAAATCCTGGTTTGATAAAGTGTGGGCCTCTGTTCTAGTCACTTTGTCCAATCCCTTTTCAAACCAAATTAAGGGACAAAATGTGCGATTAATAGCGAGTTAATTAAGATATTAATCACAATTAAATATCTTAATCGTTTGACAGCACTAATAAGTATCCTTAAACTTGTATTCAATAAAAGTAATTTTTTTGATCAAATTACTTTAAAAATGATCACTGCACAAATACACTGATACAAATAATGAGCAATAGCACTTTCAACAAACGCTTGATTGCTAGTTTTCCTGTATTCCTCTGTTTTACAAGCACAAACATTGACTTTCTCTGTTTTTGTTAAAGAATGAGATGGTGCATATTTATTAATCCAGGAAACTGTGCAAAGTAAAATGGCCTGTGCAGTTTTATTGGTTTTATTCTATATTTGAATGGGCATCTGATTGACAGCTTCACCCAGACTCGACCTCATGCAGTCCCCAGTTGCCTTGAGTTTGAGACCCCTGCCCTAAAGTCCCCTGCTATCCAGCTACCTGAGAACAGCTGCATTCACACTCAATACTTTACAGCCATTTCTTGAGCTGTGACGTAGCCCAGACCAAAGCCCGCCTCCCTCCCTCTCTGTGACGTAGCCTGAGTTCTCGCTGACTTGGTTGTAAAAACACAGCCTGGAGGTTTGGGTACTTTCAGAAATAAAAATACAGTTATTTTCCAGCAATGTCCTCGACCCAAATTATTCAGTTAACAGTGGTATATGCTGTAGTTAGTAATACTGTACATACAGATCTAGGCTCCTTGTTAGCGTCTTTATTGTGGAAATAACACCAGGTCTCAATATCAGCTTTTGAGTGAGTCCAGTTTCATTGTAACCGCAGTTCTGGAAGCAGTCTTTGGTGAAGTGTGATGTTCAAAGTATAGAAAAGTTAAAAAATATATATTTGGGACACTTTTAAGGAACGATCGCGGCAGTTTAATGCATTCAGAGAAATGCTGTATGGTCACTTATGTAAAAAACACTTTTTTCACACTTAGTTTGATCATTTTTCTTTCGGTCATAACAAAATGTGGAAACGTTCAAACTGTAATCACACTTTTGCTAGGCACTGTGAAGGGAATTTATTGGATTTGATGTTTAACGGCTCTTTTTGTCTAAGGTCTGGACTCAGCACGTCAAGTCAACCTTTCATGCAGACAGCCAAGTCCTTTTAATGAAGAGGTCAGTTCTGACCCTTTATTACTCATTGTTTGGTTCAGCCATGGTCTGTATTTTACATGTATTCTTTCTTCATAGATACCCAACTTGGGACTGTCGTATGTCCTCTATTCGCAAGAGGTGAGAACCCCCCTTAATAAAACCCAATGAAAATGTATTTATAAAAACAAAATGTGTGAATTAAAACTTTTGTTTTGTTTACAGATCTGAAAATGTGGTGGAAGCTCCAAAGAAAAAGAACAGTAAGAACCTTTGGTTGTAACAGTATCATTTAATCAGAACTTTCACATATGTTGCAGTGTTGATATCATTCTTTTAATTTCTTTCCTAGAAAAAGAAGGGCCGTCAACAAAACCGGTAATGTTCTTCCTGAGATATTTAATCTTGTGGATTCTTTGGTACAAAGGCCTCAACTCTGAGAGTCCTGTTTGTGTTGTTTGCAGACGGCCACTATAGTGTGCGCCAAGTTCCCTTCACACTCAATTGACGCGGCTCACATTCGATATCTCTTGGACGACTTTGGAGACATCGTGACAGTGGCCATGTTCCCTACTCTGGTGAGTGGATCACAATAACTTGATTTAATGGTAAACATGCACTTTTACTTTAATGTGGATAAAATGTGTCTGAATCTCACTTTTTTGTACTTTGAGATTATATTGGGGTTGTGCCAATTTTTTCACTAACTGCTGGTTTAAAACACTGGGGGGAAAAGTCAAAGGTAAAGATAAAGGTGCACTTTATTAATCCCCGTAGGGCAATTCAATCCTCTGCATTTGACCCATCCTGATGCGAAGGCTTACTTCAGGAGCAGTGGTTGCCGTAGTACAGCGCCCAGGAACCCATCTCCGGATGTTGATGCTAGATCCAAGACTGAGGCTGTAGATCCAGGACTGAGGCTGTAGATCCAGGACTGAGGCTGTAGATCCAGGACTGAGGCTGTAGATCCAGGACTGAGGCTGTAGATCCAGGACTGAGGCTGTAGATCCAGGACTGAGGCTGTCGATCCAGGACTGAGGCTGTCGATCCAGGACTGAGGCTGTAGATCCAGGACTGAGGCTGTCGATCCAGGACTGAGGCTGTCGATCCAGGACTGAGGCTGTCGATCCAGGACTGAGGCTGTCGATCCAGGACTGAGGCTGTCGATCCAGGACTGAGGCTGTCGATCCAGGACTGAGGCTGTCGATCCAGGACTGAGGCTGTCGATCCAGGACTGAGGCTGTAGATCCAGGACTGAGGCTGTAGATCCAGGACTGAGGCTGTAGATCCAGGACTGAGGCTGTAGATCCAGGACTGAGTCTGTAGATCCAGAGCTGAGGCTGTAGATCCACTTAACGTATAAGAGGAGCGGATTATACTGAAATGTCCATACTTCTCTCAGCAACATGTGTACGCAGATTGACTGATAATATTTGTTGTATTTCTAATTCTTACCTACCAAACCATAAGCCTGGACTTGAAGATAGGCATTGTGCCGGTGTAGGAGCTTGGAGGCTAAACGCTCTGCCTTGTGATGCTGAAGTTTGTGACATAGATAAATTTGGGGCTTTCTCCTCTTTTCCCGAATATATTTCATTGGCCATAATTGTATTTTATTATTTTACCTTTTATAATCCACCATTTTTCATCAACCAGTCACATTTTGAAACAATCAGCAGGAAACCCATATTGCTCCATTTCAGTCTTATTGTTGAACTGTTCTGACCGCTGTTGGGGTGGTGTGTATGTGCAGGCTTTCGTGGAGCTCCAAACACCAGAACAAGCCCAGTTTGTGGTGGACCACTTCACCAAGGCTCCACACAAAGTGAAAAATGAGAACGTGGAGTTCACACTGTCCACCACCTTCAATTTCCTCCAGGTGAGAACGTGTCGTGCTGAGGATCTGCATGTGAGACCTGTCATGTCAGCCATGCTTTTTCACACACGGGATAAGAAAAAGTTTGTACATGACTTTATATTCATTTATTCAACACCGTCTTTTCACTCACTCATTACATTCAGAACTATTGTACACCTTTTTAATGGTGGGGGAAACCGGAGCACCCGGAGGAAACCTACACAAACACAGCATGCTATCTACTTGAAATGTTTCTTACTGCGTGCTGCTAAAGATGTCATCCCGGCCTCCATCCTGTAAGAATAGTCTCTCTTCTTGGATCTCTTATCATTCCTGCAGATCCGTAAGAACGATCCGGCCCGTATTATAATTTTCTGTCAAAACTGCTAAATTTCTATCGCAGCCTCCATTGTTCGAGCCGGGGGTTTAAAATGTGTAAATATAGCTGGGTGCCAGACAGTGGAAGCAGGTCCCGGCTCAAAAGTGGCCAAAATGACGTGCGCTGACATGCTGCAATACCACCCCGGGCCGATGGGGGTGGACCCAGAAGTAGAATTAGCCAATGCTAACATATAGCATCTTCTTACCTTTCGAAAACGTCTTTACAGGATGGTCCAAAAGTTGGCTCTTGGCCCAAAGCTCCGTTCCACATGTGTGTCAATGCTGAGGGGGGTGAATTTTTTTGGACCACTCCAGTTTAGTCGCTGTGAATTTTTGAAGTCACTCGTTTAAATGAATGGAGCTCGTGCCGGCTGACGCATGCGCAGATGCGTTTTTTTACATTTTCCAGCCTCCGCGGCCATTTTGAATCACTCCATGAAAGCCCAATTTTTGGCCAATTAGTTAGAATACCGGAGATAGGCGTGACTACGACCGTCAATATATACAGTCTATGGTGCCAGACCTAAACAAGCTTTAAAAGTAATCAGTAAAATTTTAAAAGCCATTCTAAAACGCACAGGGAGCCAGTGGGGGGACGCTAAAACTGGATATTGATAGAGAAACAATAATGAGTCTCAAAAGGGAGTCCTCAACGTGTTTTTTGGTTCTATGTTCCAGAGCTCCTTCGTGCTGAACTTCCACCCTGTCCCCTTCGGTATGGACGGCCAGACAGACCTGCTGAGCATCATCAAACGCTTTGGGACACCTCGCTACACCATGTTTCTGCCCAAGAGGGTAATGTGCCTTTTCTGTTCTTTTCCCACATGTTTTTAGTCTTCCATTTTTCTATGTATTTGACATTGCACAATAAGTGTATTGCTCAGACCGGACACAGCTGCAACCTCAGTCCCAGGGCAGAGGGAAAGAATGAATACATAGAATGACACCCGTAATCACAAAGAGACACAATATTAACAATACATACAACACAATTATTTACATCTTTCTTCAACTGTCACAAAGAGATATACACGATTTACCGTTCTGACACAGAATCTATGAATACATTAATCAGTTTGCATCACATAATCAACAATTGCTCAGCATTCTCAGCTGCCACAGCCGTAGTTCATTCTCCTCTACAGCGCCCATCATTCCACACTAAGATTTCATCATCAAACGGCCAGTCAGATTTTCAGTTTCAGATCAATTAGTTCTAAATGTAAGTAAGTGATCTATCTTGATTTGTATAGTGCATTCCACAGCCCAATGTCAAACAAAGCACTTTACTAGTTTGGCAGTAGATTGGAATATAACATTGTAATATAGTAAAAATAGTAATATAGTGTTAATATCATTCATTACAAAAGTCCATCTCAAAACTTTGTTATATACCATTTTCCATCATCACATTTCTTGTGTTTGAACTGTTTGATTCTCTAGTCTTGTCTGTGTTCCAAAATGACAATCTGATATGACATGTTTTTTCTGCCTGTGAGGTTGTTATTAAATTGGGTTATTAAACATTGAGGTTGTTATTAAATTGGGCTTGTGCCTCAGAGCCGGTGGTAGATCCAGGAAAATGCTGCAGCTTACAGAACAGTCTTACGATATATTTGCGTTGTTGTTTTCAGATGCAGGCCTATGTGGAGATGATGGACCCAGCTGAAGCTCACAAACTCATGGAGTATTATGCTGAAAGTCCTTTGAAAATGAATGGAGTCGACATCAAAGTGACCTTTTCACAGGAATTCCGAACTCTGGCGTGAGTCACAGTTCGACACACTGTTTATTTAGCCACCATAGAGTGGATGAATATAGCCACACTTTCAAAAGCCTGAAAGCCTCGTTGTCTGCTATTTATTTGTTGAAGATCTGTACCAATCATGAGTATTTCCATTTATCATGACTGTTAAAGAAATACTCATGGCTTTTTAAGTAAGGATGTGATAAAGTGGTACAAACTGTCTTTACTTCACAAAAGTTGGTCTCTGAAATGCAGGGAATCATTTTCTAATAATGTCTACTGATATTGTTTGGAAAAGTGCCTCTGCAGTAAAAATGACATATTGATAAAAATCATACAAATGAACAAATAGCCATTATTTATTTTACTTCAAAATGACAGGGAGGACTTAGCCCACCTCGCCCATGGATTCCAGCAAACCCTGTTCAAATGTAGAACTGATCAGAAAGACTGGAGAAGACTGTCATTGTAACCTGAAAGTGCTCAAATCAGTTCATTAATATATTGAAAGAAATATTAAAGGAGCTATACCCGTTTCTGCAAGGCTTGAATGTTTAGCATCGCCTCCCAACTTGCTCAGAGGCTTCTCATTTCCACTAAGCGGAGCCTTCTAGTTGTATTTGCGTTCTTATGCTAACATTAGCGCAACTTAAGCTGTACAACAATCAATGATTAAATGGTACCAAAGCAACGCACTGCTAACAAAATATATTACTGAAATATTACCGCTAGTTCCGAGTCCGTAGTCCGAGCGTAGATAGTCCGAGGCGGTCCCGCAGGTCTCTCCCATAGACCAGTCTCTCCAGAAGATACAATGTAAGCTAACTATGTTCACCCGGGCTTGGTTTCTTCTTTGATAATTTTTTGGCTTTAGTTCCCTCTTCTCTTCCTCACTGTTGTGTCGTTTGAGCTGTTTTGCTGTGTCTGCAGTTACAGCCAGAGGAGTTATAGCCACTTATGCTAACATGCTACTGTGTTTAGCAGCGCTGTAGAGACTAGAGGACGCAGCCTCGTTCTGTGATTGGAGGAGAGCGGGCGTCACGCTAAAGTCTCTACTCAGCACTTTTATACGGCCTGAGTTCATACACAGCTGAATCAATGTGCTCAAGTTATGAATTTAATTACGGATTATAATACAACTTGTATGTAGTAATAAGCATTTTTATGAACTCATTAGAAAAAAAAATTGGGTATAGCTTCTATAATGAATAATAATAATTTAATCAATTCATAATATAGCGTATTCTTTTTCATGTATTTTATATTATTATTATTAAAGCAGGACTGCACCACTGTCCTGTCCCTCCTCTCCTCAGGCGCTGTCTCAAAGCTGTGGCTTATGGTAAAGATGGGGAGCCCATCTCGTCCCAATCCAGCAAGAAGCGGAGCAGTCCCTCTAAGGAACAAGGCTCCAAACCAGTCAAGAGCGAAGCCAAATCTCCTGAAAAACCTGTGGACAAACCGACGGAGAGCAGTGCATCCGGAGGCGACGCCAAACCCACCACAGGTAACCAGGGGCAACCATAGGCCTTCAGATGGTACCACTCTGGCCCTGGGACCTTTCAGACACCATCTGACTGGTTCTATGCAGGGTGTTGTCAGGGCAACTGTCTGCACCATAAAGCAGAGAGTATTTTTTGTATAGCCCTAAATCACAACAGTAGTTATCTCGGAGGACTTTGCAAAACTTTCGTCACCATCCTCCTTGCCCAAGTCTGGTCCGGAGCTGAGTTGCCGCTAAGGATCTTTTTCTTGGTCCACAGCTAAACAGACTTTCTGTTGGTTTCAGAATCAGAAGCACAGCCAACAGAAACCAAGCCGACAGATGCAGGGCCTGAGCCGAAAGAAGATTCAGTAAAGTATGTACTCGTATTTACTCTGATGTACATTATATATAATCTGTATAATAGCACACATACTGTAACTATTCTTACATTGTTTACATCAGATGCATATGCTCGTGCCTTAGTTATGATTTGAAGTAATTATCCTTTATCCAAAAGTAATCTTTGAGCTGTGTCCAGTCTTTCTGAAGATAACACCGAGGAGGTGGCCATGCAGCTGGATGAGGAGGTGGTGCCCATGGAGCCGGAGAATGAGGTACAGTTTGTTCACATGTTGAGGTGTGGCAGTGGGAGTGTACCCCCCCCCGGACATTGATGACCGTTCTCTGCTTTTGTGTAGAGCGACTGTCCCTTCGATCTGAAATACTGCATCACTTTGGATGAAGTCCAACCTGGTAAGTCTGTCAAGTATTCATAGTTTCAGCACTTTGTTCTTTTTGAAATATTCCACAGTATTATTTATACAGTGCGTATACATTATTAAGAAGACCCTCCACTTCTCTGGCCTTCCCCCATGGAGCCAGGTGGCGAGCTGGGCCTGCCATGTGTTCTCCCCAATGAAGTCTCTCACAGTTGGCGCCTACAGTGCACTGTCCAGAACCCCTCCCAGAGACTGCGTTATTCTCCTGTGGGACATGTGGGAGCCCAGAAGGATGGAGCATGAGATTGATAGACGGGTTGCTGTATTAAACTGGAGGGAGCGGCCTCTGAGTCAAAGCTCTGATACAGATGATAGATTGTTGCAGATGCAGGTGTTTGAAAAGGACAGTGACATCTTGTTGGCTCCTGTAACTACCCTCAATCAAGGATGGCCGCACAACCAGCTCCAACCAACAGCACTGGCTCTGTTTATCAAAGGAGAGGCTGTTGAAAAAATTTGAAAATCATTTGCTCAGAAGGCTGGTGTATGGTGTACAGACAAAAGCAACGTGTTCCAAAGTAAATGTGTTTCAGAGCCACTTCATGGTAGTCCCTCAGCCTGCTTTGCTTTTCCCCTATTATTCCATGCATTGGTTTGATCCTGAGCCTTTTGAACCCAGTGAGTGATTGATATGCTTGTTTCAGGTGCTGAGGAAGAGGATGAGGATGACG